GTGGCTCTATCGCAAGAGCCTCCACTCAAACACCGCCGTGTTCCCAGACTCCTCCCCGCCAGCGCTGATCATCCCCGTCTCTGTCGATTCCTCGTATTCCATTCCCCAGATCCTCTCCCCAGCTCCACTGATCCTGCGCGTGTAGAGTGATCGCGACGGCACTGGGATCGCCCAGCAGTGGCTCGATCGAGAATCTGATCCGGTAGGGGTAGAAACCCAGCGCCTCCTTGTTCTTGAGCACGTCCATCAAGAGCACGCCCACCGAGAGGGTCTTGATCCGGCTCCACATCCACGTTGGCGGGCGTGTTGCGGACGCTGGGCACGATCACCAGTGAGATTGCCACGCGCTGCTCGCGGACTTTGTGCTGGATCGATGCCGGGATCGTGATGCGTATCTGGTTCCTGGTGTCGAGCTGGATGCAAGGGCACGGCCGCCATGTATGGTCGTCGAAGAGGGGATCATTTGGATCCCCGACATTGGAGGATCGCGCTGCCGGCGCCGAGTAGTCGATCTGGGGGATGGAGGCGGAAGTAGAACTGGAGGCCGAATTCATCCTCGCGGACCTCTTGGAAGCGAACTATTGCATCCAGTAGAAGAATTGGACAACGAATTCTTCCTCGCGAGGATGGATTGTTGGGGCCTTGAATGTAGGAGTGTTTTTCTAGGATTTGCTTGGCCCTGGCGAGCTTTATCGGCACAGCTCCCGGATCTCCTCCATGGGAAATTTTGAATTTGCCATCTTGATTCCGGAGTGTATGGAAGAATGTGTCATCGAACGTCAAATGCGTGGAATTCTCCAAACGCGTAGAATAACGCGCGTCTGTCCGAATTATACGGGAGACCGAGCTGTGGTATCCGAGTTTTTGGGCTGCATATCTATCTATCGATAGTCTTTGTGGGGTCTTGACGCATGAATTATCTTTGCCATGAGGCGGCGTCTTGGTTAGCCTCGCGTTCCTTCTCGCTTAATGCAAGCTGCTCTATCGAGTCTTTGGGCTACGCAAGCCAGACACGGAGGCACAGTACTGCATGAGAGGAACAAAAATTGTAGAGTTTGCTTCGGACTTTCCCGCCCTTTGTTTTCGCAATCAGTGGCTGGGGAAGCAACATGGAATGGACGTACTTTGGAGCAATCTCTTGTGCTGGGATAGATCCAGGACGTATGCAGCTGTTTAAGATGACGGGAGGCTTGCCATTGTTGTGAGTTTTCAAATACCAAATAACATGTAATGCCCCTTCGGCCAAATCCCACACAAGGATGTCTGGAATGTAATGTGATGGCTACGCCCAGCAACTGTTTGAATCCATTCCGTTTCACAGCGTGATATCCATTCTTTGCATACATCCAATTTGGTCAGCAGCAAGGTTTGAGATAATTGTTTTTGATATGATACCACGTCTCGGAATGCATTTTAGCTTGGACTTGATCAGTTTCTATTCAACAGAATGCCAAACAAATCTGTTGTCTCGTGGAACTCCATGTTAGCCACATACACATACAGCGGTAACTCTGTAGCCGCGATGGAGCTGTTAATGTTCTCGATATCACACCCATGGGTGTGGCATATGCCGAGGTTGGGAATCTCAAGCAGGTGATGATTCTTTGAAGATGAATTGCCTAACGAGACATCTTTTTCATCTGGTTCTAATAGCAAAAGTAAAGCTTCTCAAGGGAGAAAATTCGTTTCAATGTATCCGGACTTTGGATCAGCCTTTTCACCTCATCATCGATCACTGACTGAAGCCATCTATCTAAATCCAAGCAATGAAGACTGTCCAGCTTTGGCGAAAATAGAAACATCTCATCCTCTTTTCAAGGCATTTGACAAGAGAACGTATGGCAACCGGTTTTTGCTCATCGTCTCGAACGGCACTTGCTGCCAGCCGCTGCTGCGTGTCACCATATGGATATTGCACGCAGAAGGAGAGTCATTGGAAATGGTTTGGGGATTCAATGAACACGAAGTGAAACCAGAACGGTCTTCAACGGAATATACTTTCAGGTAACGGTGGAGATCATAATTTTAAGTCTTTCACCGAAAAAGGAATCATGAAATTTTTGTTTTGCCATATTTTGTTGATATATCTGTCTTTTCTCCCTCCCATTAGCAATAGTAAAAAATGCTTCAATCTTATATTATTTTTATCATTGCTGTTGCTTTCTCATTTTCTATTCACATTGACTTCATTAATTTGACACCAAGATATTCTTATAATATTTTTAATAATATTTGATAAAATATTATCCATACTGTAATATATAAATTTGCTTTACCTTGCAAGTAGCAACATTAAAATATTTTTGTACTTCATTAGTGCAAGGTGAAAATTGAATATGTCCTTCAAGTGGCAGGGCAAATTAGAACTTATTCTTCAAATACAAAGTAAATATATTTTTCCAGGGTGCAAATTTAAGGGCATATTTATGATGTATAGCATCAAAAGAAGGAAAGAAGGATTTTGTGTGATTGAATTAGTTGTATTAAAAGTGTTTTTTTATATATAAATATCTTTATATTGGAAAGTATAAATTAAGTTTTATCTTGCACAATGAAGGACCATTGTAATTTTTATCTTTCCATCAAGAAGGAAAATAACAATTGCTCTACAAAATGCAAAAATTAACTACCTTACAAATTTGAGGCTTGTTACTGTCGCTAAGCTACTTACATTTTCAATTGTTATGCTAGGGTACTTTCCAAGATCTCCACAGCAAACCTTCTGCTAAATTTCACTTGTGACCTTGAGATCAATACCAAAACTTGAAGAGTATGTCATCATGTCACAAGTCTGGGAAAATAAGAGTGGTTGTAATCAATGTTTCTTTTGACGATCTAACAAGATCCAAATGCCACTAGCACAAGGAATTGTAAAAATTTCTAAAAATAAAAACAAAACAAGTAACATAATGAAGGCTAGATCAAAAAAGGAGGATCATGGACATGTTATTGGAAATATAGTTGTTGCCAAAACAATTTCAGACAGAAGTTCTTGCAATCTATTTGCTATTTACTTTTGTAATTAGTCAAATTTATTAGAATAAGCATTCACAGTAAAATAACTTTTCATCTAAAGAAAATTTATTTGAGTTAGATTCAGTGTGTTAGACTGATGTGATGAACAGCTACATAATACTATTAGCAGAAATAAATCAGGATAAGAAGAGGATGCATCCTAAAACATTATAATCCATGTCTAGGCGTATAATTCATCTTTGGATCAAGTTTTGTTTTTTAATGGATTGGTTTGAAAGATTGATCACCTTACAACTGCTGGACAGTAACAATTGACTTTGCATGGTCATCCTTGACACATGTAACTTTTGAGAATTTTATGTTGGCTTTGGTGTAACTTTTGAAAACTTCATGTTAGCTTTGGTGTAGTGTGGCAAACACAAAACTGCATACAGAAGTTGAACTTGAGTAGATTGTCAGTCAAGCTCAAGAGTTCAACCTCTAGGCAGACAACCTTTGTAAAAGCTATTGATCTCCATGCTAGGAAATCACATCCAGAATTTGGATATTTCTAGATAACTGATATGATTCCAGGCTCTCTTTCTTTGCTGAACACACTCTTCAGCTTGAATATCTCCTAAATATATCAAGCTGTTTACAACTTTTGTAAGCACTAGCTATGAAGGTAATCGAGGTATGGCTTTCCATAGCACCACTTCACGGAATTCCACCATAGCTGATCGGGAAGACCCGAGGAAGTAGTTCGTCATCTCTTTTCAAAAGTGACATTTAAAGTTAAGACCTTTTGAACAATGCTCGCCATTTCTGGGTTTTCGGGGCGGAGCTATGCGCTGGCTCGTCGACTGCATTCAGGATGTGCAGTCGCTAGCGGTGATTTTGCAATATGTCCAGGTAATTTATTGTCCCTTCCATCCATTTACTTCAGGTCAGATCCATCCCAATTTCATCCACTTGTAATCTTCTGCTGCCGCAGTGTGCGCTGATCGGCCCCCTCGGCACACTCTACACTTGCTTGCAAATCTAGCGATCGCGTTGTTTGCTCTTGTGGCGATTGAGAGTGGGAGTCACCTTGGCCGCACTTATGCCGCATTGCTAGTGTGTGCCTTGCTTCTCGACATACTTTGGTTTATTTTCTTCTCCTATGAGATCAGGTAAGTTTCTGTTTCTTCTTGGTTTGCTCCTTTCATGTTTTGTTGTTCTTTAATCTAAGAGAGTTGTCCACTCGTGCTTTACAGTGTTTTGTTTCTCCTCGAGAGTTTCCTTATTCTAAGATTCTAAAGAGCTTTCTCTACGTGCAGGCGTTACGGCCGATCTCCACGAATTGCGATCTTCTCGGTGGAGCTTGCGCTATGGATGGAGATCATCGGCTTCACGCGGAGCTTCTCGGCGCTGGTTTGGTTGCAAACCGGCTAGGACCGTCTCTCGCCACACATAATCTCGCTAGTTGCTACTAGAGGCTTGTCCAGCCCGCTGCTACTTCCGTTGAGAGCACACCGGTTTCCACTCCTGGGACCGCCAGACAGACGTCCATAACCCGATCCTCGGTGGCTCGATCTACGATCCAACGTACTACGCCTCGCTTGCGGATCTAGGAGAAGGAGAATTGCTCGAGCTCGTCAACAAAGGTGGGATTTTTTCAATCTTCTTCTTTTTCTCTGTATTGCGATGATCTCGGACACTAACGAAAAGCGTGCTGGCGGAGTATAAGCGCTGTAGAGCAACTTTGCCCTTGTACCCGGCATTAAACTCCAGGACGTGCAAAGCGTTTGCTTTTGTCTCAAGTCACTCCTCAGGAGCTGGTTTTTCTCGCAGAGCTTTGGCGGTTTAATCCATCCTGACATTTTCAAGGACAAGAAATCGACAAAGACGGCAGAGAGACGAAGAAGAAAGCTCGATTTTGGTGTGGCTGGTGGTTCTTTCCTTCCACCCGAATGCTTTGAAGACAATTGGCGACCGAGCGACTGAGCTGAGGGGATGGCTGCCTTTGGGGGGGGGGGCGTTGTGGTGTCCGATCCTCTTTTGGCGAGCCAATTTACGCTGAATGAGCTTCGCTCGCTCAAATCCGAGGTAAGGAACCTCGTTCTTTCTTTCTTTTTCTCAGCTTTTTCGGGAGCAGTAGCGACGTGATCACCGCCAAAGAGTTCAAAGATGGACTTTCAAGACTGAAAGAAAGGAGCAGCAGCTTGGATAATGAGGCCTTTCTGTCGGTAACGCGATCATCGTTTCCGAAGTCTCTCAATCGAACATTCTTGTCTCTGCAGATATACTTGGAGATTCAAAAGAGCGGCGTCAAAATCAGCCCACAAACGAGCCCATGAAAAGATCAACTACCACAAGGAAAAAAGCGATCATATTAATAGCCATCTTTCCATGGGGGACATTCCTTCTTTCTTGCGATTGACTCGTCTAGGGATGATCTCTTTGACGCTGTTCAGGACGGTATACTGATCTGGTAAGTTTCTGGTCGTGTTTTCACGCTGAAAAACTAATCACTGGTCTTGCAGCAAACTGATCAACGTAGGGCTCTCAATATGAAAAAGGATCTCAATACTTGGGAAAAGGTCGAGAATCACACACTATGCTTGAACTCTGCAAAAGCAATTGCTTGGTTGTGAACATTGGAACCGAAGATTTGATCGCTGGAAGAGTTTCCATTTTATGCGCAAAAACAATCTTGTTTTTGTCTATGCAGTCTCACCTCATCCTGAGCATCAGTGTTTTGTCAGATTCAATGCCTTTCTGGCGTCAACATGAAAGCGGCACCAGAGCTCGCGGAGATGGTAAGCGATACAGAGGTAATAAAAAATGAATCTGTGTGAAAATTCTAAAGTTTCTAGGATATAGAAGAGCTTCTTCGTCTTCCAGCTGAAGAGGTTTTGTTTAAATTGGTCAACTACCACCTGCAGAAGGCTGGTTCTCCGAGAGAAATTACTGACTTTTCGTCAGATCTTAAGGTAGAGACCAACAAACTGGAACACTTTAAAACTGACCAAGGATGGGGAAACATATAAACGTCTTGGCTCCTGAGAGCTGCGATTTGTCTCTGCTAGATCTCCAAGATCCATACTATAGAACAAAAGCAGTGCTTGCTCAGACTGAGTATCAACTGTCTTAAGATAACAGTGTCTACATTGCATACACCGCCCAAGTGGACCGGTCGCAACCGGGGAGAGGATATTCTTTCTTTCCTTGTATATTGGAAATCGATACGATCCAACGAACGGGATGGAGAGTACATGCGTGCTATTTGTAAATCCCCTATATTATACTTGGGCAAAGAACTCATGTGCTAGGTCCATATGTATTATATTTAGTATATTTCCTAAAAATCTCTTGAATATACCTTTGCCTAATTGAAGTTTTCTCGCAAAGGCCATTCCATCATTACTTTGGAGGAAATTGGATCTACCAAATACCCAAATTGGAGTATCTATAAGTTATATTATATATCTTTCTCTTCTCTTGAACAGATTGTTTTGTGTTTGTGGGGTTATGTTTTAATAATGGGGTAGAATTTGTGTGTTGTGGAAGAAGAGTCAGCTTATTCAGAAATTGATAGATTATGGAAACTCTGGTAAGGTTAATGTTTAGAATGTATGTCTACATCACTAGCTGTGTATTTTTGACTAAGGTTCATGGCTTTCCTCCCGGACAAACAGAATGGAGAGGCTTTTGGAATGCTTAGGAGGCCCAAATTTGCTTTGGGCAGGATTTAGGCCCACAGGTTTTAGAACTTCTAGAAGGCAACACTCATTTTTGCAACAACAGTAACACTATTAGTGTTGAACAATATAGCTCCAACAACCCTTTCCACCATAACCCAGACAATGAATGGGATGTATTATGGGTCATCCATACCACATATATGACATGTATGTTTTATAGTCATGTACCATTTGAAATGCATATATGCACGCGTGGGTCATTTGCGCAAGTATAATATAAAGAATTTACAAATAGCACGCCATACAAAAACCAAGAGCTCGACTATTTTATCGCAGATACACACAAGAATATACGCAGGCTCTAGGGCAAGCTTAGTTGGTGGTGGAGCGCGGCGGTGGGGCTGGGGCCAGGGTTACTGGGAATCACAGGCTCCTCCACGATGATCCGGCGGCGGCGGCGCGGGGAGAGCGGCAAGAGTGGCGGCGGTGGCATTGCGGAGAGATGGCGGGGCCGGCGATCATCGCTCGATGAGAGCGAGTTGGATTCCCAGGATCGATTCGCTTGCAAGCGCGTGTGCATCAGATGATGAAGCGAGTGGGCAGCTTTGCAAAGGATGTGACGCCCAATTCGTGCGTCACCGTGTGTGGGGTCTCGGATTTGGATGCTTGAGTACGCTCGATCCGTTTATTCTACGCAGCATCACGTCCCCAATTGGAACGATGTTTGCATGCGGCGATGCCAGAGCGAGTGCCTACGATCATGAGGGAGCTATCAATGCAGAGAAATGAGAGCTCTTGTGTGAGCTTACTGTGATCCCCAGCAGTGCTTGCGCCTTGTCGTTCCATTTTGTGACAAGATCAAGACACTCCTCGGCTCCATCAGAGTAGCGGAACTCTGGATTCCGGTGCTTGTGAGTATTAAACTTGTTAAGCATGGCCTGGATGCTGGTCGCTCCCTTTTCCAGCTTCGCATTCAGCTCTTGCTCGTGACTTCCGATCTGCGACAGGAGATCTTATGATCTTGCCACTCCGCTTGTACCTATAGGCAGAAATAAATTACAAGTACATCACACCCAGAGACGTTACATGCGGCTCCGCAAACTTGAATCTTGCTTTTCTGGCCTATCTCTGCCATGAAAGGTATTGAATTTCAGGCCCACCTCGCTGTTGATAAAACTTCTTCGTATTGCAGCAATGGTTTGACAGCCGACAACAGCCTCACTTACGCAGAATTAATTCAGGGTCATGAGCAAGACTCGAGAGACGAGCGGGTTTTTCGTGTGTGGATCAATAGCCTTGGTACAACAAGTATGACAAACTTTGCTATGAACTAATGTTTACCAAGACACAAGTGGAACTGGAACTTACAGGACAAGAGCTTATCATTCTTCTCTGGACTGCAGAACCACGCGTTCTAAATTGGCGGCTCGTGACCAAACACTGGATCGATAATATCCTATGAATTCCAGATGACGAGCAAAACGCGGTTAGTGCGGCCAGGAAGCTCGGCTGCAGCGTGATCTTGCTGTGGGATGACATTGGCGAGGTACTTGTTTTTCCAACTTTGTTAATTTGCTTTCGCAGGTGAGACCCAAGGCGGTGATGATCTTGGTAGCCACCGTGATGCTCTGGAATCTGGCCGAAAAGGCTAGAAAGGCTTCTAACACTGCTGCTGTCCACAACGAGTCTTCTTACAGCCACAGGGACGCGTGACATGACGCGCCCATAACGTCGATTGCGTGAACGATCGGGTAAAGCAGAAAAGGAGGAAAGAGATCTCTTTGAGCAAAACAACAGGGTTTTCGCAGGCTAATTTCTGGATACGCTGCCAGAGACAATCTGTCCTGCTAAACTCCCATTCAAGACACTGAAAGGCACATGTATTAGTACACGGTAAGTTTATAGCACCAAACTGGATATTGGGGAAGAACATTGGGGTCTACAAGAAGCGATAGACAGTATGACAGTCGGACTTGTCACTCACCGTCTGTGACAACAAACTGTCGAGAAAATTCAACTCTCTCGCTGGTACAATTGGCTTCGCGGTAGATGCAGTTGCTTCTCGTGTACCAGACGAAATGCATCTCGGCCTCGAGACGAAGCTTGAACCGGAGCGGAGACTTGGATGGCATGCTTGCGGGCAGATGCCACACAACGATGGGAAAGTCATCGATATTCACACTCGTGCGTCCTCCTCGCAATGGCGGCTATATGGATCACACTCAGATGAAAGAAAAAGAGTAGAAGCATTTACCTGGAGGAAGCTGAGGCCAGAGTATGGTTTCAATGGATTATACTTCATCCCATTGTGATTCCAGCGAAGGAGATTCCACTCGAGCTCGGCGGTCTTCCGTGGATCTCCAACAGTGATGGACTCGCACTTCATTGGCTCTTGAAGTGACCGACCCCATGTTTTTTTTAATCTGAGAGACACTGGCCATAAATTAAATCGAGCTCCAATCTCGTTGGTGCTGCTCGTGGTGCGTGCGCTAGAATTGGCAAGGGACTTCTTGTCATAGATAGCATTGACAGGGCTCTTCATCTCGTCAAGATGTGGATCGATCCATAGTTTGATGCGGTAGGGGTAGAATCCCAGGGCGTCGGAGTTGACGATTACATCGCTGTCGCCCACTCCCACAAAGAGGTTCTTGATCTCCAAAGCAACTTCGAAGTTGGCACAGCTCTCCCGTACGTAGGGCAGGATCACCATGGCAATGTCCACGAGCTGATGGCTCTTGGGCATTCCGTTAGGAAGATTAAGGCATAACCGGTCGAGCTGTGGCGAGTCGGATGGAACCTTTGTGTTGATTTGAAAGCACTTGCATTTCTTCCAGGAAGATTCATAAATTGGGCAATAAATCATGTTGCACATAGACTCGCAAGAATGAAATCTATCATCTATCTGCTCTTCTGAGCCTACTGTTGGGGATTACATACTATATATAGACAATATATAAATGAATGAGTGACACTTCGCGAGACATCTTAACATAGTTGACTATTGGCTTCGTTTGTCTGGTTTATATATTAATAAACAATTGAATATTCATGGTGTACCTTTAAACCTGTTATTCATTATTACAATTCAAACTTGTGATTCATCATGGAAGCTGGAAACACATTTCTTCCAGGAAGATTCATAAATTGGGGAATAAATCATGTTGCACATAGACTCTCAAGAATGAAACCTATCATCTATCTGCTCTTCTGAGCCTACTGTTGGGTACCATATATAGACAATATATAAATGAATGCGGACAACTAAATATAGTTGACTAGAGGGGCGGGTTGGCTTCGTTTGTCTAGTTTATATATTAATAAACAATTGAATATTCATGGTCGTGTACCTTTAAACCTGTTATTCATTACTACAATTTAAACTTGGAATCTGGAAAAAGGATTGAGGGCCACCGACAAGATGCGAAACCACGAGGAATCAACAGATGTGCAACACAGTAGGTCAACGAATATAGGGAGTTTTGGCTCGACGATCCCACCACACAACCAGCTGGATTGAACAATGCATCTATGCAGCTCTTGGGTCGACATCGACAACGTACTGAGAAGCAAGGGAAGTGCCATAGTTCAACGGTAACATGTTCAAAGTCTTTGCATGAGAAGTTATTTTACTGGAAGTGTTTCCAATGAACACTTTCAGGACGGTGGAAACTCGTGATGAAACCTCGCTAGTCCATTTGGCCGCTCGGAACAGCCGGATCGTGCCCACAAACCACAGCAGATGCTTCTCACCTCCAACTGGAGCTTGAATTGGAGCGGAAACTTTGATCTCATGCTCGGATGAAGATGCCACATGACAACGGGAAAGTTTTCCACTTCGATGCCTGTGCTTCCTCCTACAAATGGGGCCTGGAAGAAAAGATAGAGATCCACTGAGATAGAGATGGCTATGGCTATGGAGGACAAACCTTGAGAGACTTTGTTCCAGAGTGGCTTTTGCGCGTTGTACCTCAATTGTGTCTCCATCGCAAAAGCCTCTACTCAAACACCGCCGTGTTCCCAGACTCCTCCCCGCCAGCGCTGATCATCCCCGTCTCTGTCGATTCCTCGAATTCCATTCCCCAGGTCCTCTCCCCAGCTCCACTGATCCTGGGCGTTTAGAGTGGGATCGCGACGGCGCTGGGATGTGGCGCGATCAAGAATCTTATCCGGCAGGGGTAGAACCCCAGCGCGGCCTCGTTCTTGAGCACGTCCATCAAGAGCACGCCCACCGAGAGGGTCTTGATCCGGAGCTCCAGTTCCACGTTGGCGGGCGTGATCCGGAACTTCGCGAACTTTGTGCTGGATCGCGGCCGGGATCGTGATGCGTATCTGGGGCAAGCTACGGTTCCTGGTGTCCAGCTGGATGCAATGGCACGGCCGCCATGTATGGTCGTCGTCGAAGAGGGGATCATCTGGGTCCCTGCGGATCTCCTCCATGGAAAATTTTGAATTTGCAAGAATGCCATCTTCATTCCGGAGTGTACGGCGAAAAGTGTCAACGAACGTCAAATGTCTGTCCGAATTATACGGGAGACCGAGCTGCGGTATCCGAGATTTTGGGCTGCATATCTATCTATCGATAGCATGAGACTCATGGATGTTTGGATTGAGGCCGCGTCTTGGGTATCCTCGCGCTCCTTCTCGCTTGCGATATAAAATGCAAGCTGCTGTATCGAGTCTTTGGGCTACGCAAGACAGACACGGTACTGCATGAGAGGACAAAAATGTAGAGTCCTGGATTTTCCCGCCCCTTGTTTTCGCAATCAGTGACTGGGGAAGCAACAGCAATCTCTGGTGCTGAGATAGATCCAGGACGTATGGCTCCGAGTTTTCAAATGGTTATTTGAATTAGGTCAATGCTTCTTCGACCAAATAGCGGCGATGGAGCTGTTAATGTTCTCGCTATCGCAGCCATGGTTGTGGCGTATGCCGAGGTCGGGAATCTCAAGCAGGCAATGATTCTTTGAAGATGAATTGCCTAACGAGACATCCTTTTCGTCTGGTTCTAATACCAGAAGTAAAGCTTCTCAAGGGTGGAGAAAATTCGTTCCAATGTATCCAGACTTTGGATCAGCATTTTCACCTCGACATCAATCACTGACTGAAGCCATCTATCTAAATCCAAACATCTCATACTCTTTTCAAGGCATTTGACAAGAGAACGTACGCCAACCGGTTTTGCTCATCTACTCGAACGTGCTGCCAGCCGCTGCTGCGTGTCACCATATGGATATTGCATGCCAAGGGAGAGTCTCCGAGTTCTTGAGCTCTGGAACATATGGCATGCTCGCAATCAGCCCTTTAACCTCATTAAGCTGCCCAGCTCGAGCAAGACGATCAACAGTGCATTGGAAATGGCTTGAACACGAAGTGAAACCATCTTCAACGGAATATACTTTCAGGTGACGGTGGAGATCACACCATCGCTAACTAGAAACTCGTGACGAAACTCGAATCCCCGGCTGCTCCACTCGGCCACTCGTGCCCACAAACCACAGCAGATGCATCCCCACCTCCAACTGGAACTTGAATTGGAGCGGAAACTTTGATCTCGGGTGGAGATCCCACATGACGTCGGGAAAGCTTTCCACTTTGATTCCTGTGGAAATGGTGCCTGGAAGAAAACGAGAGATCAATCGTTCTTCAACCTTGAGAGACTTGGTAGGCAAGCTCAATCCAGGGTGTGGCTTGTGCGCGTTATATGTCGCGGCATTGTGGCTCCATCGCAAAAGCCTCCACTCAAACACTGCCGTGTTCCCGGACTCCTCCACGCCGGCGCTGATCATCCCCCTCTCTGTCGATTCTTGGCATTCCATCCCCCAGCTCTTCTCCCCACTGATCGACACGGGCCGCGCGCCAACTTGTCCCGCCGCTGTCGCTAGCTCCGATCCTGGGCGTGTAGAGCGGGATCGCGACGGCGCTGCGATCGCGCAGCTGGGGCTCGATCGAGAATCTAATCCGGTAAGGGTAGAAGCCCAGCGCTGCCTCGTTCTTGAGCAAACACGCCCACGGATAGGGTCTTGATCCGGAGCTCCACGTCCACGTTGGCGGGGGTGATCCGGACGCTTGGCTCGATGGCAAGCGCGATCGCCACGCGCTACTCGCGGGCATTGTGCTGGATCGCTGCCGGGATCTGGTCGGGGAAGCTAGGTTCTTGGTGTCGAGCTGGATGCAATGGCACGACCGCCGCGTATAGCCGCCGAAGAGGGGATAATCTCGATTGTGCGAGGAGGATCGTGCTGCCGGCGCCGCGTAGTCGATCTGGGGGATGGTAGCAGGGAAGAGGAGAGAGGAGGAGGATCCAGTAGCGGCGGAGGAAGGAATGGAGGACGAATTCATCCTTGCGGACGTCTTGGAAGCCGAGGAGGAGGATTTTAGTGGCGGAGGAAGAAATGGAGGACGAATTCTTCCTGGTCGTGGATGTCTTGGAAGCCGAGGAGGAGGATCCAGTACTGGCGGAGGAAGAACTGGAGGACAAATTCTTCTTGATCACGGACGTCTGAAAAGCAGAGGAGGAGGATGATCCAGTTGCGGAGGAAAAAATGGAAGACGAATTCGTCCTCGAGGATCTCTTGGATTGGAAAAGCGTGGAGAGGAGGAGGATCCAGTAGAAGAATTGGAGGACCTCTTGGAAAATGGCACAATTTCGATGATCTTGGGCCGGATGAAGAGGGATGGATCATCTTGAATGTATGATTGATCTTCTAGGATTTGCTTGGCTATGGCGAGCTGTGATGGATCGTCCTCCCATACCTCGGCATCTCCCAGCTTCACGTCCTTGCCAGATCGGCGCAGCTCCCGGAGCTCCTCCATGGAAAATTTTCGTTTGCTAGCGATCAACAACTATCGATCGATCGATCTGGATTCCGGATGAATGCGTCAACGCACACTAAAGCAATGCCATCGTTTTGTTTGGAAAGATTTTCTTGGGAACATCGTGCAAAGCGAGCATCACGAGACAATGAAACATACAACCTTTAGCAAATCGTTGAAAATATTCAACCTTTATAAAACATTGAGAATCTCCAATTGATCTTCCTAAAACGAAGCTCTCGCTCTATCAAACATTCTGTTTCTCTACAAGCCCTTCCTCGGAGCCACTGTTCTGGCTGTTACACTTTGTCACGAAGCGGTGGTAGTAGCAAAATTGCGCAAGAATCTGCAAAAACACCGTCAAGGAAGAACATCGAAAACAGAAGAAAAACCATACGAAAAAATCCAGAATAACGCAAACAGCAGCGTCCACCAGCCATGGCATGTTGGGCTTCAACTTGGTCCAATCCGTGCTCCGGACGAGGATGCTGCAACCACAGCACAAAAAAAAAAAAAAAAAACAATGAATCCCAACGAACTAAAGCTCATTCACCTTCCAACGTATGTAGCATTTCCCATTAGCGCGCAGAAGAACATCATCGGATTGAGACCCTGGAAAAGTCGCAACTTTAGAGAAACAAAACTTAGAAAATGATTGAAGATTACCTCCACTGTTCCTCTCGTAATCTAGGAAGACAAGAAAAAATCAACTTCATGTCAGACCAAAAAGAAAGAAAAAGAAAAGAGAGAGATCACACATTGAGCCAGATTTGAGGTACCCTTCCACCCATGTAAATCGCGGCCATTCCCCACCCGAGCATCTCTCCAGCTCTACTGTGACTTCCAGAGTCCTGCAAGAAAAACTCTCATTCCATCACCAGAAACTTCACTGGTAAATCGAGTTTTTCACCCCGAGAGAAACTTCAGGGGTGAATCTTATCTCTCGTACCTGCAGGAGGCGTCTCGCGCTGCTGAAGACGACATGACCACCAGACGAGGACCTAGCTTGCGACTCCCAACGAGAGTGTAATGCATAGCCACCAAACATCATCAAACTAGCAGCCACCTTTCCACCGAAAAAGAAAAAGATACAGAAAAGTTAGAGAACGAACAAAACAAACCAAAGAAAGGAAGGAGTCTGTGGAGCTTACTGATCTGATCATCCTGGGCTCTGATTTTCCCAGATGCGACGCGGCAACAATCTGGGCCTCGACAGCTTGGAGATTCGACAGAGATGGATGAGAAGATAAGTAGTCCCCTCTCTTAACACCTGAGGTGGATAGATAAGAACCAGCTGTGGGTGTGTGGCTTCGCGTCAAGGATCTCGCAGATCTGTGCAAGGATCACACGTTTAAAAACTTAGTCCTTAGCCATGAAACAAACAAACAAACAAACGATCGAGACTAGAGCACTGACGTGTAGTAGAACTGTCGAGGACTCGGGCTTGGAACGCTTATGGAAGATATCGGCTGGCTCGTCACGGGGGTCACCGGTGTCTCTTGCGCTCGCCTTGCCTGTTTCTAGAGTTTATTTTATTTCGATTAGCAGTGATCGAGACAGAAAAACTATAGTCCTGTTCTAATTGAAAAACATATAAGATGCTAGATCTTTACCTCTGGAGGGATCAAGGGCTCTTCGATGGAGGGTGAGTCAGGCCTGTGGCGTTTGGCGATCTGTCCGTAATAGATTGTTTGAGCGACGAGGACGAGCGTTGTCAAGGTGTAAAGCTGCCAGCGCCGAGAAACAAAGCAGTGATTAGTTAAACATGGAACGCTGTTACCAGTGCCATGTAGAATTGCGTTGGGAGCTGCGTATTGGATGTCCAATTCAGGGAAGAAAACAAACGATCGTCAGTAGCAAAACCGGGAAAAGAAAAAAAATCGATGGAGATGATCCCTGACTTACAGTTGCTGGCTCGAGTAGACACCCCGCGATATTGAAAAAATCCCTTCACGAGTATAAGATGGGAGAGTTAATGCGTTTGATCCAATCCAAGCACACACGATCGAGGAGAAAGCAAGCGATGCATTAAATGAGAGAGCCGGCAGCAAGAAAACAAAGATGGAATCTCTCCACCATCTCCACACTGGGAACCAAAGAGAAAAAGAGAGGAGAGAACGAAAGGAATGGCTTACCCAACGACCCAAGTCATGAGAAAGACAAGCGAGACACCCTCGGTGGATTTCTCCTTGTAATTCGTGATGATCTGGGGGACCTCGGCAATGCCCCAGCTCAAAACGCTGATCAGCCCCAGCGAGAAGGAGACTCCATCTTTCACATCGCACACGCAATCCTTGAGATACCTAAAAATCCACTGCGAGCAGCCGCTGGCGGGGCACTCGCGAGCTATGAGCAACATTTCCCCCGGCGCCAGCATGACGATACAAAGGATTTTGGGATCGATCGATCAGATAGGGGCGCGATCGGATTGTAGGATCGATGGAGGGAGCGAGCAATTGGGGAAGGGGAGCTGGGATGGATCAAGCGGCGACACCAGAAATCGAGGAAGGCGCGCGCATGCAGGGCGCTCACCACCGCCCTGGCGCGGCGCCTCAAAAGAGAGAATTTGGCCAACCAAGAGAGAGGAGTATATTCCCAGAGAATCTACCAAGTGCATATTCGTATGCTATCACATGATTTTGTCTGGGGCACTATTCAAATACAAGATCGTATGCTTTTTTGCGATGTAGCTAGGACAAAGGACTTTTCTAGTACCACCAAGACAATACCATAGCAAAATGTGACTACATACATACTTTTCTTCTGAACTCCACTAAATCTTCATTTTAGGACTGATAACATTACATTTTAATTTAATGGTGGGTAATTGCAAAACTGTAAACATGTATCTATCATACAACCTATTTAGCTTTGGTTGATACCATATTATAAATTATATTGCCTTGCTTGATTGATTTATTGTGATTTGGATGCACAGTAGTGACCAGAGCTAAACCAGCTTTAGGGCGTTTATTTGTCATAATGAAATGTTTATGCAAAGCTTTCAAGGAAAAAAAGTGTAAATGCAAGAGTTTAGTGAGGAGATTCTCACATTCTTCATTCCTTGCTCAAGGCTTTAAAAAAGTTGGACATGGAATTAAGGCCACGTTTACTCGGAATCATATGCTAGAATATACTTAGAAGATAAACATGTTTATAATATAATAAAAGATTAATTTAAATACGTGTTAGCATAAACTAGACTAGGATATACTTAGAGATTAATTAATCTAAATGTATTTCAAGCTATAGTTTTGATTTGTAGCAAATGCTGGGAATTAATGTGTAAAATAGCAGCCCTTTTGTCTAATGCCTACTTATCTGGCATGAATCAAAATATTCATGAATATTCTTGCAATATATATAAAATGGCATTGTGTTCCCATAGTTTGAATAGTCATCCCATAAGAAATGAATATGACATGAGTTTAAAATAGGGTGGAAATAGTTGAAGTGTGGTTTAATCCACATAGGATCTTAGTTGAGATTTAAGAAATCTTTGGGATTTTAGTAGAAGAATCAAGAACAAGTCAATTATGAAGGTGTTGGATGGTTCAAAAAGATCATCAACAAAGAAAGGAGGTGGCAAAATTTTAGGAAATTCTAGTAGAGGGAAGGCATCATAAACATTGTGGGAATCTTGGACTTGAATAATAAAAGGGTAGGATATTATCCCTTACACTGATTAAAGGGGTGATTATTTAATTGTAGGGCTTTTTCTTTATTTTATTATCCTGATTTGGTGCTTAACAATCCTCCCTTTATAGTCCTTCTCTTAGGGTTTATCAAACCTTAGTTCTCCTTTTAAATCCACCATATTGAATATTCTTTCAAAATGTTTTTGCCCCTCGTTAGCCACAATTCTAACATTGGTATCAGAGTAAGGATGGAGTAATGGAAAGAAAATTAAACGTCAACACTTGGACAATCATGTCTTGTGAATGAATGTGTTTTCACTTTTAGAGAGGAGAGGGTGATTTTTGAGAAAATCTCCTTATAACTTCTACTATAAACACACAGTTGTAGTAAGAATCTAAGTAAAAATATGTATTGACTCTTTATATGGTTTTTTACATAATTTTTATATAGCTCAATCTATATATAGTTTTTTATATTCATGTTCTATGTAGTTATCAAAGTATTTTTCTAAAGTTAGTAACTATTTTACACAATGTATAGTTCATAAAAATTATAGTTTGCCACACATTGTTCCATGTGGTTACTTAAATAGTTTCCTAATGCTCATACACTATATAATTATTCATATAGATTATACTTTGATAAAGAACTTCCACAAATTCACATCACTTTTGATAGCTCATATAGTGTATACTGTTTTAGAATATAGTTCACCATTGTCATCATACTTATACATCATATAGATTATAGTGTGATCAATTCTGTAGATCCTTGGCATATTATCAATAATTGTTTGCACCAATAAACATAGACATTTTGTTGTACTAAATTTTTTAATCCATACCTAAGTTGGCAATGTCTTCCATGTGAATGATGAATGTTGTATTAAATTGATTAAAAAAAAATCATTTATGATTCTTATTTTCTTTGGAAATCTTATAACCAATTGATGTTCACTTATCCAGTGAAAAAATTCATATGCCTATCAAGAAAATCTATTAATTCTGTGGCAATTTCTGACTTTAAGTGTATTTACTTTGAACAGCATGCAAAGGAGAAGAGAACCAAGATGATATGTTTGAACTCTACAATAATTTTGTTAATAAAGGTTTGAATATTCACAAATGCATTCTTAGATACATACACAGAGATGTCAAATGTAGGTAATCAGTGGGACTCCAACAGCCTTGATAACCTACAAAACAAAATGCTATGAAAGGTAACTTTTCCTTTTTTGGTTTGTTTAAGCAAACCAAGGTGGTAGTGAATATACCTAGAATATCTTGGATATTCTAGAATATTTTATTAGTTATTCATTTAGATTAATCTTGTATTTATAATTATAAACTTGTCTAAACACAGAAACATGCTCATAATTATTTATTAATTAGATTAATAAATAATACTAAATATAAATAGCACTATTCCATTGCAATACAAACACTCCTCTTAGCATCTAACAGACCAACACCAGGAACAACATCTTCTCCAGATTAGAGGGATGTTTCACAGGCATCACATCTAAGCATTTGCTTTCATGCTTGTCCAGTGCCACTACCTCCTCTTCATGTGGCCAGGTTGTTCTAGAGGCGAACTTGAACACTACTTGAGCATAACCAATATCCCTTGAGATGGGATTCTTAACAATATCATCAAACCCCTCCTTTGGTTTCAAGATCTTAATTGCCTTGGGGATGGGTAGTGTAGTATGCCTCAATTACATAGATAAACACTTAGAACTCCTTGTTGAATGAATAATGTGCCTTGTTTGTTTAATGATAAGAGACAAAGGCTACCTTACGATTGTAGTATGTTTGTTATTTTGAATCATAAGCCCAAAAACCCATCTTCTTCCAAACATTTATGTCTGCCTCTATCCTTTATAAGTTTGTGAAGTGACATGACAGCTCAAGTATCTATACAGCTCAACATTAAATCCTGACTACTCTTTGGCTATAGTAGCTTTGTGCATACAAAGCTTCTGCCTGAACTGGCAATCAGATAAATTGCAATCACTCCATAGGGCAAAGTTGCAGAATCTGGAACATCAAGATAGATGGCTAGATGCTCCCTTCTTATAAAGTTTGAATGTGTTCTTTTGCTATAGGACAAAGTTTTCCTATAAAATCTGCAGAGTAAAAGAGGAAGAGTGAATACTTCCATGAAATATTTCCAGACTTGGATATCAAAAACCAAAAAAGAAATCCACCACAACTGGACATACTTTGCCATCAAGGTCACAATCCTGGCTATGCAATCTCAAAAGTTATATTATAATAAAAATATTTGAAAACAAAAGCAAACCAAGTGTTGCTTGCAACACTTTTTTTCATATTATACATACAATTCCAAAAGCTAAAATAGACATTCTGTCCCCATAGTAGGCAAGACATTATAATTGTCATTCTCTATACATAGCATTATTACACATTGTCCCTAGGCCACCAACCTAATTTTAGAGTAGCTAGTTGTGGTGCCTTCCTCACTTTGAGGAGATATTCGGGCTGCCAATATCATGAAGTGTTATGTGCCAGCATTGGGAAAGAGCTGTATCTATCATATCCCAGATGTTAGCAATTGTCTTTGAAAAACTAATCTCAAAGCATGACAAGCATACAAGCACAAGGCAAACTGTGCAATGCCATCCCCTAGTGCATGGGAGTCATCTTCACATGATATATATAATACATATTGAACTTTCTAAAATGCTTGAACCTGGTTTTAAGCTTTCAAATGTCCTGATGCCAATTTTCATCTCAGGGTAGGCTCACTTGAAATCCTTGAAAAACTCATCTTGATTGATATATAAACACTGTTTGTTGGAGAAACAGTAAAGTTTAATAAACCACAAAGTTGGAAAAGCCACAAACACAACCACAAACAAAAGTGGAAAAGCCGTAAATAGATATGGAAAAGCACAAGTCAAAAATCCTGAAATAGCAGTGGAGTTAGAATCGGCGGAGGAGCCACTTGGCAAGTTTGGATAATATGGGAAATTCCTACAAGCCAAAAATTAAGGAACTCCAGTTGAATAATGAGGATCCATAACTGTGGCATGGTTAGATAGTACACCTGGGTTTTTTGAACAAAGTGAATGGCAGACTTTGCCTTGCCCTTGCTCCTGCTCTTGAGAACATCACATGGACAAGGAGAAAGCTTGGTGTTGGAATCCCAGAATGGTTTGCCATCACTGATGACTGTGATTAGTTCATCTGCATCACCCCCATCCTGGACTTCTTTGTATTTGTGTAGTAGTTGCCTATATCTGATGTCCTTTTTTTGCCCCATGCTAATTATTGCTTCTGTTCAGGTGGTTAAGACCCATGCGGAGATTGTGAACTACCCTGTCAGCTACCTCGCTCACCATTGCAGATCAACTCTTGTCAATGCTGTCAAAGCTTTTCAACTCCTTGCGGGTGTCTTCTGGAGAGTACGGCGGTACTGGAGACTGTTTGTCCGGCAAGCTATTTCCTCGTATCTCGATGCCGAGGATCCCAGACTTGGCTGCAAGCTCAATCGCCCACCACTCGATCATCAGCTCGGCAACAATGATAACGAGCTCGTCGAGTTTCCCTGGATGATCACTACTTTCCGGAGGTTTCAACGTCCAAGAGCAAGAACTCCTGCTTGCAAAACTCTAGCTGCATACTTTGCCGAATTGACGAGTGCTCCCAGGTTTTAACGATGTGGAACTCTTCAACGCTGTCCAGTATGTTTGACTGCTTGTACTCCACCCCATTCTTAAAGATGAGCATGGCCGAGATCTCAAGGATACCTGAAGTTCCAAGCAACAAAAGAGAAGAGAGTGGAAGATCGTCGAGTAAGCGAGAAATTCTAAGAAAACCATGGCCAACGGCTTATGTCGTTGCTGCCATTCTTCTAGTAGCTGCCGCTGTCATGGTGATGGCGGTATGGAAGTTTTACAAGGCCAAAACGTTTGAGCGCCGGGCAAGCTCTGAGACAATGGGGAATAGCTGTATCGTCCTGCCAGAGCTTGAGAACTCTCCACGGTACTTTAAGTAAAGGAGCTGTGCGAGATCACTAGCAACTTCGAGAGAAAACTTAACGAGGATTTAGCAGTGTTTTCGCGGGAGCTCTCCAAGGTGGTGGTCAAGAAATTGGAGGCTGCAAGGCAAGGGCTCAAGCAGTTCATGGCGGAAGAACCATTGGAAGCGTCCGTCACCAGAACCTGGTTAGGTTGCAAGGCTATGGAGCTCACGGCCAGCACTACTACCGAGTTTGTGGAATATCTCTCGCTGGACAAGTGGCTCTTTACTAAGATCGATGAAGCAGCAGGCACTGAGAGATATTGCCCGAGGCCTGGATTATCTTCACGGAGGTTGCAAGGATCGGGCCTCCACCTCGATATCAAGCCGCAAAACATCCTCCTGGATGCAAGCTTTGGAGCCAAGATTTGTGACTTTGGACTCGGTCGAGAGAGTTGATCACGAGAAGAACTCTGTCAGCACGGCCATGCGAGGGACTCCCGGATACATGGCTCCCGAGTGGCTCCACTCGGGGGTGACGGACAAGGCAGCTTTGGATCGTTTTGCTGGAGTTTGTGAGTGGAAGAAAGGTGGTGGCTCTCCCATCAAGCGCAGTGATCACCAGTCCAGGAGAAGATCTTCAAGGGACTGATCATGAGTTCTTGCTGGGAACAAAAGCGTTTGAGCGGAGTGACCTGCTGCTCGATAACGTTGATAGAGAAGGATCTGAGCGAGCAGCGAGCGAAAGAGATGGTGAGGATTGGATTGCTGTGCGCTTGCCACGAGCAGCTCCAAAGGCCGTCCATTGGAAGCGCGCTATAGCAACGTGATATGGTGCCACGCAATCACTGAGATTAGGGTTCTTCCCACAATGGGAGCGGGAGACGATGGCGCAGGCGGGGGCGTGGAGCTGGCCAAGACGATCATGCTGCCCTACTTGCAGCGCGCCGACGAGCTCCAGAAGCACGATCCGCTGGTGGCGTATTACTGTGAGTGTCGATTGAAATCTAGCAGGGATTTCTCGCTAAAAACGCTTGGCTAGGTCGGTTGTATGCGATGGAGAGAGGCCTCAAAGTTCCAGCGAAGGAGCGGTCTAAGACCATGAACGCGCTGCTTTTGTCGCTGATGAATCAGCTCGAGAAGGTAAGAACGAAGGAAGTTCCTTTAGTGCTGAGCTCTATTCCTTTGTTTAGGATAAGAAAACCGTGAAGCTCAGCCCGGACGACAACTTACATGTGGAAGGATTTGCCTTGGGTGTTTTCTCCAAGGCGGACAAGCAAGACCGGGCTGGACGAGCAGACTTGTATGTGTGATCTATTTTCTTTGTGCGGTCTCTCAGCTTTTTTTTCTCTTTCGATTGTCTAGAAACACTGCGAAAACTTTCTACGCATCCAGTATTTTCTTCGAGATCTTGACGCAGTTTGGAGATCTCCAACCCGAAGTAATTGCTTTTCCCTGCTTTTTGCTTCTCCAATGAGTATTGCATTAACGTTTTCCAGGGGCATTTGTAGATCGAGCAAAAGCAAAAGTACGCCGTTTGGAAGGCGGCTGATATCCGGAAGGCCTTGAGCGAGGGGCGAAAGCCCGAGCCTGGACCACCCGGTGGCGATGCCGGCTTCTCACTCGACGACGTTTTCTCCGAGGTGAGGCTTTTCTAGCTCGTGCTTTTTTATGTTCTTAAGAATCTGTGTTTCTCCGCTTTGGCAGCAAGAATTACTCACTGGAGAGGCACCTCGGGCTCCTTCACCACCAGTCAATCCCAAAACCAGTATCGACCACGCTACAGCAGCCTATTACTCCTCGTCAGCTCCAGCTCCATCTCAACTCGATCATACGCCGCCGCCACCGCCACCACCACCACCACCGCCGCCGCCGCCGCCGCCACCGGAGACTTCCTTCTACAGTAGCAACTCGGTGGAGCATTTCCAAAATGCACCCGAGCACTTTCCTCAGTCTGACCGCTGGGAAACGTCTCGGACAAACGACTATCCCATGGACAGTGGCTACCCCTCCGCGACGTATCCCTCATCCGGTTTCTACCCGAGCTCGTCGGCACCGTTTTCTCAGCAACACCCAGGATCCGGAGACTACCACTCGCCTCCATCGTATCCGTGCTTCACTCAACCTGGTGGTGGATCATTCCAAGCTCCGACGATCAATCCGGCTTCTTCTTATCAGCAGGCTCCAGCAGCGGCAGCAGCAGCAGCGTATCAGCAGCAGCCAGTGTATGAGCCGCCGCCACTGCCGAGGACCTCGAGTGCTCCACCATTGCCGGAGCTGGAGAAGAACTACAAGCCTCCACCGGAGAAGATAACAGAGGCACACAAGGCATCCAGGTTTGCAGTGAGCGCTCTAGCGTTTGACGACGTCCCCACCGCAATCAGCTATCTCAGGCGCTCGCTCGAGCTCCTGACAGCTCCCTCGGCTTCCTGATGGTAATGTTAAAAACCTTTCTTTCTTTCATTAGTTTTCTTCAAATTCTAAAGCTCGATCATCTTTCGAAGTTCTCTACGGTCAATTTTGGTCTTCGTCAACTTTCGTCTTACCTCTCAGTTTTAATTTTACTCAGGAAGTCATTCAATCCAAAAGGATCCGATGAATCCTTCTCAAATTCAACCGGCTTGTCCCGTGATAATCCTCCTAGCTCCTCGTTAATACCATCTTTTTTTGGCCTGTGCAAGCCACCCAAGCTTGGATGGAAGAGCCCCTTGTCATACACATTGTACACACTGTCATCGCCGCCATAGCCAGAATCCATGCCTTGCTCCTGGTTAAACAATCGCTGATCATACACCAGCTCACCACCCTTCGTGACACTAGCCATGGATCCAAGAGCAACCTTCTCGGAGATATCCCTCTCGCAATCCCTCACAATTTTCCTCTTTGAAGATTTCCTCAAACAAGCTTCTCGCTCGCGTTCCCTCTTCCGCTCGCCACGAATCACATCCCTCTCTTGCCTTTCCTCGTCTTCTCGCTCCTCTTGTTCTTCCCTCAATCCAATATGACTTCTTTCCGTTCTCGCTCTTTCAGCGAGCGATCGAAGCTCCTGCTCTCTTTTACTCTGTTCGTTGAGATGGATCTCCTTCTGGATCTGTGACCGCAACAGTACGGCCTCCCGCGACTTATTCTCCGCACCGTGGAGAGCCTCAGAGAGGTGGGCAAACCTGTGATTGATTTGCACCTCCTGGACCCCCCTCCCATCGGCGGCCAAGCGCTTGTCCAATCCAATTGTGTATCCTTTGGGATTCTTCCAGTTGGAGATGCAAGGGACGATCTTCCAGTCTTGTTGATCCTGGACAGTCACTGGACGAGCTGGTGAGTGCATGATGCGTACCAGAGGCGAGCCCGAGAGCCGGGGAAGTTTCTTGTACTTAAACTTGGGGGGCTCTAGCGGATCCACCGGCAGCTCCACCATCTTTATAGTTCTTTCTTTACCTCCAGAATTAAACCGCAAAGATGGGTTATACTTGATAAACGAAGCACCGCCACCTTTCCGAGAAGAAAGAGCCATCTTTGAGTAGACCTAAAATTCTATTAGAAAAGGAGTCCTATTATAGAGGACCACCTTTTTAGAATTCATTATTTTTAATTTTTATTTTTTTTGCTTGCCAACGTCTTTGAACCTGTTTTTGGCGGACGCACAGAAGTACAATCCTTACGACCTCTTTGGCCTCTTCTAAATCAAACTCCGGCACAATCAACAGGATCCACGTTTTCCAGCAGCAACTCAATCCTTTCGAATGCTTTTACTTTCAAGATCCTGGAAGTTCCCTGACTGATCGAGGCACTAGACGGGAGGGGAACCGTTTTCCTCCCACTCAGAAGCTCCAGCTCTAAACATCTGCCTTCTCTGTCACCCGTGAATGGAGTCACTCTGGAGCCATGTATCTGGGAGTTCCCCGCATCACCGTGTTGACAAAGTTCTTCTCGTGATCACTCCTTTCAACCAGCCTTGCAAGTCCAAAATCACAAATCTTAGCTCCAAAGTCTGCGTCATGGAGGATGTTTTGCGGCTTGATATCAGGTGGAGGACCTGATCCTTGCATCCTCCGTGAAGGTAATCTAGTCCTCGAGCTCAAATGTTCATGCTTGTCCGGGATATTACTAAAGAGCCACTTATCCAGCGAAAGATTTCCACAAACTCGTATACCAGGTAGTAGTGCTGGCCGTGAGCTCCATAGCCTTGCAACTTGACCAGGTTTCGATGATGGGTGCTTCCAACGGTTCTCACCTCGGCCTCGAATTTCTTGAGCCCTTGCTTTGCGCTCTCCAACCTTTTTACGGCAACCTGTTGCCATCTTGAAGAACTCCCGCAAAAACGGTGCTAAATCCTCCCCGACCAAGTTTAGTCTTGAAGTTGCTAGTGATCTCACACAGCTCCTCGTGCTCACAGTACCTGGGAGCGTTAGGAAACTCTGGCCGGAGTAATTCCCTACTCGGAGAGTTCTTCCCTGTCTCTTTTGGTGTGAAAGCTGTTGCTTTGTAAAACTTCCATACCGCGACCACCAAAACGATGGCTGCTCCAAAAACAATGGCAGCCGCAATGTCAGCCGATGACCTCAATTTCTTTCACCGGTCATATAGTTATGCTGAGTTCCACAATGTGAAAACCTCAGGCAACTCCACGCACCTGTGCAAGCTAAACAGCACTCCCCAGGCACGAACTCTTACACTGCTCAATCGACACGTTTGTTAAATCCTTGTATAGTCCACAGGATACTCCTCGAGCTCATTACTCATCTCGCGGGACAGATGCAATCTCCACTCGTCGTACAGAAGCGAGTTGTCCTCCACAACATCGCCGTAGACCCGGAGATCGCCGCTTGGAAGAAGCCCAAGAATCTGCTCTTAGTCGGCGGGAAAGTGAACGTGATCATGGAGCCATCCTTCTTGCGGTGGCAACTTACTACTTAGCGATCCATTGTTTATTGCAAGGAATCCAATCTCCTCTTTGGAAGCAGAGCTCACCCCAGAGGTGGAGAACTTCAGCGATACCCGGTCGTGTTCCACGAGGAGGCGAAAGTAGCCACGCGAAAAGTTATGCTTGGAGACGCTGCTCACAATCGATTGCCCGGGCAGGAGGCGCTGGCCGACGAGTGTATCGTGGGGATCTGCAAAGCTCTGCCATATCATCCATCTCGTTAGCGCTGCCATAGAGAACAAGATTGCGGGTCTCGAGGAGCTCCATCCCCACGACGCCCATGCCAGCGGTCTTGGATTCCCACGCGATGCTGTGGTTGCTATCTCGCAAGGAGCAGGTTTCCTCTAGCTCGAGGACGCAGTACATGAAGACTGGCCTGTTTGTGTTTGCTACCCAGCTTGCCTAGCGCCAGAGCCAATTTCTCTCACGCTATCGGGGCCTTGAACACCGAGAAGTAGACACTAGCAGTAGAACATGTCTTGCAATGAATTGAAGCGAACCCTGCTGCCAGATTGCGAGAAGGCTGGTAGAGCATGATGCTGCTTAAACCGAATTGCCACAAGGAATTTGTAGGAACTCTTGAGCACAGCGGGAAAAATGGAGAATTGATAGCCGGATCAAGAGATGCAATAAATTTAATTTTTACGGTTTTAGAATAGCAAATCCTACAATGCCAAAATATCTTTGAACAATCACTGGACTTCCCACTTCTTAAATACTTTTGGTTGTCCTGCACTGAGAATTCAGACCAAAAATAAAAAATCCTCCAAATGAATTTTAAATTTTTTGTTTCATATTTTTTTGATTGCTTCTTCCAGCATTTTCAACACAACCCCGATAGAAGGTCTTCGAAGCTGTTCTTGCTGGACGCACAGAAGTCCAACCCTTACCAACTCTTTGGCCTCTTCCAAATTAAAGTCCGGCACATTCAACAGCCCCGGATCCATGTTTCCAAGCAGCAATTCACTTCTTTCAAATGCTTTTACTTTCAAGATCCTGGAAGCTCCGTGGCTGATCACCGCGCTGGATGGTAGGGGCACCACCTTTCTTCCACTCACAAGCTCCAGCAAAACGATCCCAAAGCTGTAAACATCTGCCTTGTCCGTCACCCGGGAATGGAGCCACTCAGGAGCCATGTATCCGGGAGTTCCTCGCATCACCGTGTTGACAAAGATCTTCTCGTGATCACTCCTCTCGACCAGCCTTGCAAGTCCAAAGTCACAAATCTTGGCTCCAAAATCTGCATCAAGGAGGATGTTTTGTGGCTTGATGTCAAGGTGGAGGACCTGATCCTTGCATCCTCCGTGAAGATAATCCAGTCCACGAGCAATGTCCATGGCGATCTGAGATCTTATCTTCCACCTCAAAGCCTGCTGCTTTTTTGGATCATGACTGTGGATCTTACTGAAGAGCCACTTATCTAGCGAGAGATTTTCTACAAACTCGTATACCAGGTAATAGTGATGGTCGTCAGCTCCATAGCCTTGCAACTGAACTAGGTTTCGGTGATGGATGCTGCCAATGGTTCTCACCTCAGCCATGAACTGCTTGAGCCCTTGCCTTGCAGTCTCCAATCTCTTGACCGCAACCTTGCTGCCATCCTGGAGAACTCCCGCAAAAACAGTGCTAAATCCTCCCTGGCCAAGTTTGCTCTTGAAGTTGCCAGTGATCTCACACAGCTCCTCATACGCGTAACTCCTGGGAGCATTAGGAAACTCTGGCCGGACTTGTTCCATAATCGTCTGCTGAGACTTCTTGAAAGCTTTTGCATTCGGGAACTTCCATATCACCGCTACCACCACAACAATAACGGCTCCAAAAACACTGGCAACAGCAAAGTAAGTCAAAGACCATGATTTTTTTCTCTGATTGTTGGGTTTTGGAAAAGTCAAGTTCGTAGAATGCCGCAAGCCCATCTTCACAAACGCTGTGATGTTCTTAGACTTTCCATACATACCCGTAGAGTTCCACACGGTGAAAACCTCGAGCAATTCCACGCACCTGTGCGTGCTGAACAGCACTCCCTTGCAGCTACAGTTCCCCAGGCACGAATTTCTACACTCCTCAAGTGGCATGTCTGTAAAATCCTTGTACAACCCCACAGAGATCATCCCAGGAAATTCCTCGATCTCGCTGTTTTCCTCGCAGTTTTCCAAAGACTCTGGTGGTGGGCGATATAGCTTGCATCCAAGCTTGGGATTGCTAGGGTCCAAGTACGAGGAATAGCTGGGACAAATGCACTCTCCACTCGTTGTACACACGCCATACTCCCCACAAGATCCCGGGAACTTCCCGCAGGGCGAGTAGTCCTCCACAAAGTCGCTGATGATACTATACCCGGTTTCGACAAGAATATCTCCCTCGGAGGTGTATACCCGGAGATCGCCGCTAGGAAAGAGCCGCAAGAACCTGTTGTTAACTACGGATGATGCAGCCGGGAAAAGGATGGATTGGATCTCGGAGTTATCCTTCTTGCGGTGGCAACCTAGTGATCCATTGTCAATGGTGACGAATCCAATCTCTTCTCCATAAGCGCACCACTCGCCGTAGCTCACCCCGGAGGTGGAGAACTTGAGCGATACCCGGTCGGGCTCCACGAGGAGGCGAAAGTGGCCGCGAGAGAAGTTAAACTCGGAGACGCTACTCTCGAGAGATTCCCCAGGCTGGAGGCGTTGACCAATGGTGAGCGTGTCTTGGAGCTCTCCAAAGCTCTGCCAGATCGTTTGGTTGCCGCTGCCATAGAGAACCAGATTGCCCGTCTCGCGGAGCTCCATCCCCGCGACGCCCAGCCCAGCCGTGTTGGATTCCCACGCGATGGTGGCGTTGATATCTCGCAAGACCAAGTTTCCATCGAGCTGTAGCTCGAGGGTGCAGTACATGAAGACTGGCCGGTTTCTGTTTGCAACCCAGATTAAGTGAGCTTGGCTAGCGCTCGGGCCGAATTCAACGTCTCCCACACTACTGGGAGACTTGCTTAGCATGAGCACTGAGAAGTAAACACTAGGCCTAGCATTACACGCTTCGCAATTAATAAAAGCGAATCCGGCCGCTAGCTTGCGAGAAGGCTGATAAAGGATGATGGTGCCACTGGTGTCTAGATTGAATCTCCATGAGGAGTTTGTGGGAACTCTTGAACGAAAAACGTCGCCGTCACAATGGGCAAAGAATGTGAAATGGAGAATTAAGAGATGAAATGTGACTTGATTCATTTTGATCTTGATCTTTTTGGGATGCTTGAGGAAAAAGTTTATTTCAGCAATCACCGGACTTCCCAATGCAAAAATTTATTTGACTTTTTTGGATGTTTTTTGACTTTAGAGGTAAATTAAGAATGCAATCAATACCTTAATTGATAATAATGTCAGAAATTTAGTTTGATGATAAAGGTTTAAATATAAATTATAATTTCATATGCTTGTATTAGCTGTATTTGAATTTAACAGGCCAATTACTTTTTTTTACTTTATATAATAATAAGAAATTATATTCTGAGTTTTTCTATCTTTTTCAGCTATTCAAAATAAAGGCTTACTAATCTACATGGAATTTTACGAATTCAAGAAGCTGAGCTTAAAAAATGTCCTGCCTTTTGCAATTCCTAAATAGTTGACAAGTAGATTCATAGACAAAAATTATAAAAACACTAAACAAGCTTGTGTTTGGTTCTCATTGTATCCCCATATTCTTAGTATGACTTGGGATAAAAAAGAACACTCCGTGCTATTGGCCTGAGCATTGTTGAGGTACTTAGCCTTTAGACGATGTTTGTTGCCCAAATATTCTGTAGACATTTACAAAAGAATTTGCTCTAATCAAGCGACTTCCTAAATATTAATTAGGATAGAGATTTGCTCTAATCGGCTATAGCTTTTGAGAAGTTGTTTAGGCACATGTTTTTTCTGGGTTTGACATGTTCAAGAACGGTGGCAGAAGAATCTCCCAGTAACTACATAAATATCCAGCACACGTGTCAGCATAGCAGATGCCAGGACACAGGTGGCCTCGTCTCATTAGTCCACGCCTCAACTTCAAGTCGGCCCGCCCTTGTATATAAGCCCGACTAAACTGAAGGACACTTCCCTTGTACGCGCTGGTGGGATTCATTTTTTTTCTTTCCTAGCAAGCAAAGAAGGGGATTTTTGTGGAGTCGAATCATAAATCTCGGCACGTGTTTTGGGTATTTCCAGTCAGTCGAGAAAGGTAGAGTCCTTTGCATTCTTCCCGTTAAGTTCTCTATCGATACTCAAAATCAAGGATGGGAAGGTCACCGCTTGAACGGAAACAAGCAGACATGGATATGGCCAAAGCCCTCGCGCCAGTCTTTGGAATAGCAGCTGCGACAGCGATCACGTTATTCTCGACACTCAAAGAATCGCAGGTACACTCTTTTGGTTTTTCTCTCCTCTTTTGATTGATCATTAGCTGGATCGATTGCTGCAGAACGAAAGAATCGAGATCGAGGATGAAGGAGAGCTCCAAATCTCGACCAGCGACGTCTCCAATCCAGACACCAAGACCACTGGGCACAGCAACTTGCCTCTCCAGTGACAAGAAAAGAGAAAAAGAGAGCAGTTATTTTTTCACTGACCGGGGAGTGATCCCGTGAATGGATCGATGGATTTTTATCTCACTTTCGATTACTTTTTCTTGTACAATCTTCGCCAAAGTCAATCGAAACTCTTTCTTCTCACCTTACTTTAGAGACAACAGCCTTTAAAAGCTTTTTCTTTTAGTACCTTTTTTGTGTCGGAAGTTACCCCAAGAACATTACGACAACACACCTGGTCGAAGACGTGTCACAACTTCTCTCTGCTCTAATTCTTTCTTTCCTCGTTACCTCTTGAAGAACGGCAAAGTCTTGTTTAATTCTTCCTTATTCTTCCTCCATCCATGCCTGTACACGACATCTTCCAGCCAAAACGAAAAAAACCTCTAAAACTCCGAGAGTGATCGACTCCTGTGACTGCCATCCTTCTTTGCGTTGTCACCAATTATCATCCCACGAGTCTCGACGCAAGAACATTGTTGGCGGCGCGGACTTCGCCGTCGGACGAGCTGATTCAAGCCGAAAGCCCGTTGATTCCTCCGCTAGATCGAAGCACGGCATTCTGGAGCCTGTTATGTATCCGGCTCAGAGCGGAGCTACTCACGGCGGAGCGATCTCAAAACTCACCGCGATTCATAAACGCTGTATATGACGAGCAGGATCATCAGCTCGAAGCCTTTGACAAAGTAACTTCTTGAGTAGAGCCTATAGCTATCAGGGTGCCTCACCACGAATTCGCAACCTGTAGCTCTGTACTTGGCTGTACTCGGCACCCCTTTGAAAGATGGTACGTCCATAGTAGTGAACTTTGGAGCCCAAAGAGAATGTGAAGAACAGAGGCGAGCTATAGCTGCACGGCAATGAAGTCCATACGGAAACCACGATCGAGTCCAGACCTCCACCCTAAGTGGTTTCCCCTTTCTCAGGTAGTCATTGTTACAGTATATGTTTTCTTGTACTAGCACTCAGTGGACTTGAGAGGTCTTTTGTCAGGGCAGCACAGCCTGATACTGCACTCCAATCAGGTTTGGCTTCGCAGTAGTTGATCAGTTGGAAATATGGTGCTGAAGTAATATCATGTACTGTAGAAGGACAACATTAGGAAGAAATCAAAGCGGTTGGCCTAAGCCCTGCTTAAAGTCTGTTCACCGTTCCCGTTTGCCACTTGGGCCTCAAATATTGATAGTCCTACATCACGACCATTGCCCACTTGAATATATTTGATGCGTCGTAGAGTTAAAACCTGGTTCAGCTTGGAACATTACCGGCAAAAATATCCCTGCTCAAATTGATCCCCTTACTAACTCCTCTTATAATATGAAAAATCCTATCAAACACATCTGGACTCTGTATTGCGAAGTTAGGTTCACGGTCTTTTAAAAGTACTTTAGAGTAGCTGTCCATTGGCAACAAAAATTGATTCTTGATTTGACATTACTCACAATATGTCTAGAAAGTTTATTCTATTCAAAATTGTACCTTCCAGTGAAAATGTGCTTTTGCACTCCTAGAATGGTAGGGAATCTAATTCCTCTTGAGTTCCTCTAAAATATTATAAAAACACTTTTTGTTTCTCATTGTATTCCTCGTGTTCTTAGTATATCTTGGGATAAGAACACTACTGTGCTATTTAGACAATGCTGCCCAAAGTAAAACAATCAAAGTATAACTTCCTAGATTTTAATTGCTCTAATGTTAAAATATTAGCTGTTTTGTTTTTCTCTGCGTTTGACATGTTCAAAACGGTGGTAGAAGAATCTTCCCCAGTAGCCGCATAAATATCAAACACGTGTCAGCATCGCAGATGCACAGGTGGCCTCGTCTCATTCACCCTTCAAGTCGGCCCGCGCTTGTATATATAAAGCCCGACTAAACTGAAAAACACTTCTCTTGTACGTGCTGGATTTCATTGTTTCTCTCTCCTGCAAGCAAATAAGGGGACTCTTGTGGAGTCGAATCATAAGTCTCGTCGCTCATCGATCGATCGAGCTCGTGTTTTGGGCATTTCCAGTCAGTCGAGAAAGGTATCTTCTTCCCGTTAAGTTATCGATCGATACTCAAAATCCAGGATGATAAGGTCACCGCTTGAACAGAAACAAGCAGACATGGACATGGCCAAAGCCATCGCGCCAGTCTTTGGAATAGCAGCTGCGACAGCGATCACATTATTCTCGTCACTCAAAGAATCGCAGGTACACTCTTTTGGTTTTTCTCTCCTATCGTATCGTTTGATCTTTAGCTGGATCGATCGCTGCAGAACGAAAGAATCGAGATCGAGGATGAAGGAGAACTCCAAATCTCGACCAGCGACGTCTCCAACCCTGACACCAAGAGCACTGGCCATAGCAACTTGCCACTCGAGTGACTAGAAAAAGAGAAAAAGAGAAAAGAGAGGAGTTCCTTTTTCACTGACCCGGGAGTGATCCCGTGAATGGATCGATGGATTTGATCTCACTTTCGATTACTTGTACAATCTTCGCCAAAGTCAATCGAAACTCTTTCTTCTCACCTTTTTTTGGGTACCTTTTAGAGACTTTTCTTTTTTGGTACAAGTTAACCCAAAAACATAAAACTCTGCTCATCTTTTTGAGATCTTTTATAGAGACAAAAAACATGAAGTTACCCAAGAACATTACGACAACACTGCTATGACTTGGAACACTTCCTCGGATTATAGTAATAAAAAAATTTTCTTTGCTTCCAGAGTGGTCAAAGACATCCCACAACTTCTCTCTTCTCTCACTTTTTCTTTCCTCGTTACCTCTTGAAGAACGGCAAATCCTTGTTTAATTTTTCCTTCTTCCATGCCTGTACACGACATCTTCCAGCCAAAACAAAAAAAAAACCTTTAGAACTCCGAGAGTGATCGACTCCTCCTCCGTGTGACTGCCATCCTTCTTTGCGTTGTCACCAATTATCATCCCACGAGTCTCGACGCGAGAACATTGTTGGCGGCGCGGACTTCGCCGTCGGACTCCGAGTCGGACGAGCTGATTCCAGCCGAGACCCCGTTGATTCCTCCGCTAGATCGAAGCACGGCATTCTGGAGCCTGTTATGTATCCGGCTGCTCAGAGGGGAGCTACTCATCGACCTCATATGCTGCAAACAAAGAGAGCAAACTTCCAGAGTTAGAACAACGAAAACAACTCGAAAACACCAGCTTTACCTCTCGATAAAACGCACTAATCTCCTCCTCGGTCAGCCCCTCTCCTCCCTCGGCGTCGCCGTCCTCCTCCCACCCGAGCGATCTCAAAAATGCCGCTTCCTCCTCCTCGGAGCCACCAACAACGTCCTTGATCGAGTGCTCGCTCTTCACGCCATTGGCAGCATTGTCGTCGTTATCGAGATAAGCGGTGGGAGCCGCGTGGTGGCGGCGATGATCCACCTCCGCCACCGGCGGACTTTCACCACCATCCTGCGTCTCATCTTCCAGTTCCCTGTCACCGCCATTCCCGGCACCACCACCGCCGCCGTTGGAGTCGCCACTGCTGCTCTTCTCCTCCGGCTTGCTACTGCTTCCTCCTGCGCCGGCGGCCTTCCTCCGGATAGCGTTGTAAAAGTCGCTTCGGTTCTGAGCCTGTGCCTGGAGCCTCTTGTCTTCGGTGACGCCGTTCTCTTTGCTGCTTCGAGCTCGGCTTGCGTCGGCTCCCCCGGCGCTGGCGGAGAGCGGAGGTATCGGGACGGCCCGGCGATCTAGCAGCTGCTTCAGCTTGCGAGGAGCAGTGGAGTTCGCGCCGGCAGTTGGAGTTCTGCCAACTGAGCTCGCGGCTGGAGCGGTCTCTGGAATCGCCACCCCGGGCTTGAGGACGTGAAGCTTGCTCTGGGGAGTCTTTGGAGTTTCGACGCGTATCGGAGGAGGTTGTCTAAGCATCGGGCTGCTCGGAGCTTGAGTGATCTTTGGTGTGCTAGGGGACACCAGGCTGGTCAGCTTTGGCTTGGCTTTGTCCCGAGAGTTGAGAGCCTGCAAAGAGTAAATCCCGTTAGAAGAGCGAGGAAAAAAATAAAAAAGGTTTCATTTACCGTCTTTGGAATCATCGGCACAAGCTGCCTGGACTGTTTAAGAGCCAGTTCTTCCAGCCTGTTTTCTGTAGATAGCTGCAACTCAAAAAAGTGACAAGCAATTAGAAAAAGAAAGAAAAAACTAAAAAGAAAAGAAAGGAAAAGAAAATACCGAAAAGCAAAAAAGAATACATACCTGTGGTGGAGTTCTGACTCGAGGAGGATTGTGAGCTAGAGCTTCAGCCATCTTTGGCGTCCCGGACGTAGCACTGGGAGCGACGCCGTTGGGCTCCACGAGGCTGGAGCGACTATCCGAGTCCAGACCAACACCGGTCCGAGAGTGTTGCCAAAGGTGACGGGGGCTCAACACGGACACATTGCCGAGGCTCGAGTAAACCTTCTCCTGAGTACCAAGCGATGGAAAATGCCGCTCAAAGGCAGCCTTTGGTACGGGGCCTGCGAGTTTGATGCTGCTGCTGCTGCTGCTACTGCTATCGCTAACAAACCTCTTCTCTCCATTCTCCGCTAGCCTACCAGAATTCCCTACAGTGTGTGGACGTCGAAGTGGAAACTCTTGATCTAGTACCCTGCCCGGTCCGGGCCAGCGACCATTTGCACGATCATCCCTGTCCTTCCCGTCGCTCAAAAAACTAGTCGCTGCTCTCTCCCTATCCCTCTCCCTCTCCCTATCCGAATCCCAATCACCTCGATGGTGGTCAGCTCGATACGACGATGGCGTCCGAGAAAAGTTGGGATAGACACGGCTACCAGTGTAAGAATCCTTGTCGACTTGGTGACGCTCTGGAATGGTTATTCTTCTCGGTGGTACGTACGCAGAGTAGCGTGGAGACTCTTGTTCGCTATGCTGTGATAATCTTTGCCTAGGACCGTCATCTACACAGAAATAAAAAAAGAAGAAAAGCGTTAGAACGTTTCCATCTTTCTCTTAAGTCGGTATAGCTACCTTGGTGATGCGCCGAGGAGCCACTTCCAACACCCTTGAGCCATTCTGGCACCAGAGATGGCTCAGTTCTTTCCATGCCTAGAACAGACCATTATAGGCTTTCTTCCAATGCCCGGGCGAAAACCTCCCAAAAGATTCACCCTAGCGCCAGGAATTCACCACTGGCATTGCTCCATCGAGCCCGACCCAGCGAGCAAATCCTCCTAGCCCTGCCAGAGACCCAATCCATCAATCGCCGCGGAGAAATTCCCTCCCATGGAGCGAAAATCTCCCCTGGAAAAAATTTCCCCCTGCCCTGCCTGTGCCTAAATTCCTTCCCCCTGCTCAAATTCCCCAAGACTCTCCCGAGAAGAATCGCTGGGCTCGTCCCCAAGAGCCAGCGCCGCTGTTCTACCAAGAGAACGAAGAGAAAAAAAAAAGAAAGAAAAAGACAAAAGAAAGAGGGAAAGATCTCACACCAAGAGTGGAAAGAAGGGGAAATTTTTTTCGAAAGAACACGAATTCTCCTGGCGCTGGATGCTCGCTCAAACCGCTGCGTCGTTGCCGGCGCTCACAAACCCTCCCTTCCTCCGGGGACGAAGCCACTAGGTCAAAAACCCTAATTTAGGTCGCCCCAAATGGATGGAATCGTCACCTAGATCGGCTATGGAGGAGATAGATCGAGCGATTGATCCCAGCGCGCAAGCATCCCGGAAGAAGAACACCACAGCTTTTCGAGCCAATGCGTTCTTCTTTCTTTTGTGTTCTTTTCAGGTGTATGGCTCAAAATGACGATCCAAATTTAGCGGAAAAACAGTGTACGGTAAGAAACCGAATAATCCCCAGGCATATTCAAAGATTCGCTCTATATAACAAAGCTGTACACGCAAGCGGCAGCCACATGACGTGTCAATCTCCCAGATGGACACGTGTCAACACGTTTCTGGGGAACGTGTCAAGTGCTCTGTGGCGCAGCCTGATCCTTGCGCTTTTTTGGAAGAATGTAATAGCGGCACAGTCGAAAATGGAGGCCTTGGATTTTAATCGGCCAATTGACGTCCGCCTTTAGCCTCATGTTGCTCGCGAGAAGGCGACTGCCACTCAAGACGTAGGCATCGGTTTCACGACAGTGGCGCCTCAAAAATCTGCCCAGCTCCGAAAACGTTGGAACCAAAGTCCTGCAAGAAGGTAAAAAAAAAAATTAAAAAAAAAAATGAAGTGAGCTCGCGGAAAGAGGGAATTATCGGAAGAGATCAATCTCGAGAGAAAAGAAAAGGACCAAACATCGAATTCAGAGCAAGGAAGAAAAAATAAAGAAAAAAATGGTGGACTAGAAGGAAAGATGAAGGACGAAAGAAAAAAAAAAGAAAACTAGAAGGAAAGATGGACGAAAGGAGGAAAAAAAAAGAAAAAAAAAAGATAAAGGAGCTTTGCCTGGAAAAAGAAAAAAAGAATAAAGGAAAGCTTTCACTTACGTCGTTCTTTCTTTGCTTTCCCACGGAGGATTGACCACCACCAGCGATGGACGGGTTGGAGGCTCGTACTGCACAAAGTCTTGACTGCTAAGTTGGAGCAAGTGTGCAACTCCAGCACGCTCCGCGGCTCGAGCACACGCCGAGATCACTTTTTGATCCCTGTCGTTCCCCAAAAACTTGTGACTAGATGGGACCGCGAGCATGGCAGCTGAAGCTCTGGCGCGGCACTCTTGCCAGAGTTCCTCGTCAAAGTCATGCCAGTCCTAGACATGTCGAAGATAGAACTTAACTTCCAAAGGAACTACGATGATGAAAAACGAACCGTGAAAGGCCAGCTTTTGCGTAGGAGCCCCGGAGCAGTGTTGGAAGACATGAGAGCTGCCTCGATCAGGAGCGTTCCGCAACCACACATTGGATCCAGCAGCACGGTTGGAGCGTTTCGATTGATCTCTCCAAATCCTGGGACTGCATAGTTCCACCCGGCCAGTGTCAAAACTCCTGCGGCGATCTCTCCAGGCAAGCTTGTCTTGTCCAGGACTTCTTTGTAGCTTCTTTCACCGAGGTTCGAGCTCATGTCTCTGTAGAGCCTGGCCTTGTCCTTGTGTATGAGTAAAAAGAGTGGAACTTCAGCTGGTTCCTTGAGATGAGGCTCGAGTACGTCGGGATTAAACTCCAAGTCGAGAGCATCATTGATGGCAGCGTTGGCTTTTCTTGGAGCGTACAAGGACACAGACCTCCTCGTACAGTCCCGGACCCTACATTCCACTGAAAAACTCCGGAACCTTTTGTGACCGTCGTCATTGTTCGCAAGAAATCTTTTCCAATGCACTGCATATCTGATTTAAACAAGAGAAAAAACGTTTGGTTGGAACTTTGAATGGCAGGCTTAGCAACCAGAAAGCAAAAGGAAGATGTATCTCAAACACGAAACAAAATCTCCATAGAAAAGAATAAAGCTTGTATCCATGAAAGCAAACAGAGGAAGAAAGAAGAAAATAAAAAGCGTTTGAGCATTACCTCACAAATTGATAAACTGGATCAATCCCGATTGCATCGGCCCATGGAAGATTGGCGCTGGCAATGAGATGCATCACCCTCGATCCGCAGCGCAACCAGAGAATGGCATTGAATGCCACAATCCAAGTCCCAGAGAAGAACACGGCGCCGCCACTCTCCGCGATTGCCACATTCGCGGCTCGTATGGCCGGGGCCTGGAGCTCGGCTGCTACCACAGCCTCCAGCCCTGGCGCGCATGTCGCAAGGAAGCTCAAAATCTTCCGCGGAGGAGCCACTGGATCGCTGCGCCACAGGAACAAGGAGTAAGCTCACGATCTCGCGACCCTAGAACGTGAAACCCTAGCGCCTTCTTACCTGAGACGAGAAGCCCTTGGTTTGCCCTCGAGGACTACCCTTGCTTGGGCGCCATTCTCCTTCCAATACGAAGGATAACGTCCAGTAATAAGCATTAAGATTTAACGGCAGTATATAAAGTCAATAAAACTTATTTGACTTTTGAAGCTCGGGTCAAAGATTTTTATGGAGTTCATCGATACATTGGAGAGGATTTTGAGCTTTTTGGGCCTGGCCACACTGTTAAGTTGCTCTGTGGTTTGTAAGTCGTGGATCATCAACTTCGCAACGTTTCACCACCTGTTGCTTATTGAATTCCTTCATCACCTTGAATTGCTTCGCTCTTGCGTCCATTTGGTCAGCAGCCAGCAAGTTACCATCTCGGAGAGCTCCAACAAGAGTGTGGCTGCTTGATTTCTTCCTTTGCCCGCTACTACCACTTGCAGCCTACATCATACTAGTAGTGCCAGCCAATATCTCGTCTTCCTGATCATTTGGAACATGAGCTTGATGATCAGAATCAGTGAGGTGGCAAGGAGCAACAGTACCACAGTCAGAGAGGAAGGCATCCATTGCTTCAAACATGTCCATTGTTGTCTTGTTGTCTGAAGCTTCAATGCAACTATTTTTCCCATGCAAGCGTGAAGAAGTTTGCAGCACCTGTTTTCTGATTGTGGTCCTTGATCTGCTTATACATCCCCTTGAGGCTCTCCCACTTCTGCTTGCAACCATCATCATCATGCTCTATGCAAGTCTTCTCCATCTTCTCTACAAACTGCTGCCACTGAGCATTCAAGGGGAAATTTCCTTTCTCCCATCGAGTCATAACCCTCTACTCTGCATGCTCCACAGCTTTGAGCTCAATTAAAGTCATGGCTTCTCCTCTTGTTCAATTGGGAGCATGTTTCTTCCTTGATGCCGATTCTGTGAGCTCCTTCTCATCCTCTTGTTCTTCCTCATACTCTTCCCCTGGATCTTGGCCGAGCTCCTTTTTCAGAGCTCACTCAAATCCCCAAGATCTTGAAAACTAGAATGCCTTTAAAACTAGAACTAGAAATAAAAACTCTCCCCCTGGAACTAAAACTGGAAGTAAAAGCAGTGAGAGTGGTGCCAAAGATTGGAGTCTTGGTGAAGGCCCAAATCAATAATCCACTCATGGATGTATGCAGGCTGAGAGGATCTCAATGAGGGTCATATGATTGGGAGGAATTCCATTGGCTTGCAAGGGTCATTTGCTGCAAGTGTATGAGAGCCATGTACATTGCAACTGTGTTGCATGTGGGTAGAGGATCTGTGGTTATGGCTAAAAGCCACTCCAGTCATGTGGTAAGTTCTCCCCTTTGGAGCATCTAGCATAGAGTTCTAGGGGCGAAAATGGGAATTTCTTTTCTCTCTTGTTCCTCACTCCATCCATCCCTAGCCAGGGCAGAGCTCTCTTCAACACAGCCCTCACAAGCACCTCCACTGCCACACCCAACATGACTGTCACACTTAATTGCCAAATCTAGCACCACAACTGTCTCATTCACTTAAGTTAAATAATCTAAATATTGTCACATAATTTCAACATGCCAATCATAAATTTTATGATATGTATGGTTTATGTAATATTTGTGCAAAAGTGTTTTGAAGTCATTCTATGCTCGTTTACTCTTATTTAGGAGTTTGGCTTCATCCCTTCATTTAATGGCCCAAAGCCTTGAAACTCTATTATTTTTGGACATATGCCATGTCATATGGAAGGTTTAAATTCCACTTCATGGTTATTTTATGGTAAATCATTATAAGATAAAGGGTGAAAACCACATGCATTACAACAACCTATAGATCAGACTATTTTTTTGAATTTATGAGAGGTTCTTGCAAATAAATCAAAAACTTATCCAATCACAACCCATGAATTGGACTATTTCTCTAAAATATAAAAGGTTCTTGCAAAAAAATCAAAAACTTATTAATGTTGAACATTTTGTGTTATTGCTCCAATTCTAGAATGATGCATTGATGATAAGTGTAGCATGAGCAACAAAAGGAGCTATCTACTTAAAGCATACAATTGAAAGAAGAGGTCAAAAGTTCTTTTGTATGATGATGATGTTGTGCTTGAGTTTGAGCAAAGATTAATCACTCAAATTTATACTACTAAATTCAATTTTTAAAACATTGGTATATTGGGCTTGAGAAATGTTTATTGAATATAAAAGAGATTGAGAATGTAGTTAATAGGAGCTTCTATTGTTTCTCCTCACTCATAAGGGACAAAATTAAAATTCTTTTAGAAATTGTGTGTAGTGCTAATTTCTAATTTAAGTTTAGTCATTAATTAGAGATTTAAGCAATAGGTTTTTGCTTAAACTCAAGCATAACATCATCATTATGCAAAAGAACTTCTAACCTCCCATTTGTACTCTTTTAATAGATTATTTCTCTTGTTGTTAGTGTTGTTCATTGCCATGCATATTTTAAAGATAAAGAATTGATAGACATTGGATTAGGTTTTTAAATGGTAAAAAATATAACTATTATGCTATTAGCCCTTATATAGAAATATCATATCAAAGATAACAATTTTTTTTTTAATATCAAGTTGATAGCTTGTTACAATGGCTAATGTAAAAAATTCCTCAAATTGGTTTTAGAAAGTGGAAATAATTAATTTCCTAGTTGAGCTATGGGGATCATTTAGAAGCTCACTTGTGATTATTTTTACCTAAATAAAATTACTCTTACATAATAAATCAACAAAAATTTGTATTAATTATAAAGGTTTACCTTGAGAAAACATTTATATTGAATTAATCACCGATGATGAGCTTATTTAAGGTGATCTTCCTATGCCACATTAGCAAAGAGAATGACAAGAGTTTTTTCTTGTTAACTTAAATTGTATGTTTATTGATCATTGTTTTATATAAAGCAACTACATTCTCAAATCTTACCTCACAAGAAAGAATAATTATAACTATGGAAATAGACAAAAATAGTTTCATCCATCATTAAATTCTTTGTGCTTTTTTACACTATTTCCCATGTTTGGGAGGTCATTTTTGTACCTTAGGAATGTCTGTTATATTTGTCATGACTAAATGTAAAATGCAAGTCATATAAAGTTTATTTGATCAGTGCAATATACCACCATAAGTTTTAGGTCGAGAGTGATGTAATATATAATATATATCTATATATCAAGTTTTTTATGTTAATAAGATTTGGATGATCATATTTAGCCCTAACAACCTTATGTCAAAAGAAATGAAGTGTATAGAAATTAGCATTAATGTAATTAAAGTAAGCATAACTAAAGTAGGCCTTCTTGGCTATAATGTTATTTACTCTATATGCAATTTAAATACGTCCTCCACCTTTAACTACCCCATAGCTTTCAACTACACTATGCACTGCCTTTAACCACCCTATTATTAGTGGTGGTTGACATTAGGTTAGGTTAGGTTTGGTGGGGGGGCAAAAAATATCTTTACATATCTACGTATAATTGAAGTAAGTTGTCCAATTTTAAATACTCCTCTACCATTTTCAATTATATTAAATTTTGCACTTCCTACTTTAGTAGTTACCCCTTCACTTACTCTTACTAAAAGTGCTGGCAATCAGTTTGTAAAAGATAGTAAGCATGCCCATGGTGCCACTAACCCTTATGCCGAAATATTTTAAACCTAGGTAAAGAACACAACAAAAGTAACTCAATCTTAAAAAAAATTACTATATGTTGATAAAGATTTTTAAACCTTTAAAAAGTATCAATCTCAATAATGATTGTTTTATACTTTTGAATTATAAGAAATTTGAGAAGAAGTATGGAATTTTGTTTGTGCACATTCACCATCATATCAGCCACATAAAGGTTTCTTCTAAAATCAAATGAATAGATTATTATAGTGGCCATTATAAGTAACCCATCTTGATTTAAAGAAAAATTGAATTTTTTAGCTTGACCATAAGGATTATTTAAGAGTATACATATAATAAAGTTTTCCTGAATCAAATCATATATGAATTTTTAACATTTATTTACATAACAAATGAATTGAACTCTTTACTCATCTTAAAGGTTTTTTTACCTTAAAAAAGCATTAGTATGGAAAATGGAGTAAATTTTTGATTTTCTTTGTTTTTGTTAACAAAAAGAATTATAAGAACTTGCTTGATAACTCAAACCACACACTTATCAATCCTCATTCTAGATCGAATAACCACATTCTCGAATTTTACCTTATAAAAAGAAATAATTGTAACTATAGAAATAAAATAAAAAAGTAGACTTATCAATTATTGAGCTCCTCACGCTCTTTTGGCTGCTTCTTACGCTTGGAAGGTTATTCTTATACCTTATGATTTCTTGTTATATCTATCATGACCATGTATGAATGTAAAAGTTATAAAAGATTTAATTAATCAATGCAATATAACTCTCTAAATTTTGGGTCGAAAATGAATGATGCAATATATACAATAAAATTTTGTGTGGTTAATAACTAACCATTCCTTTTGATGTTAGTAATATTTGAGTGATTACTCTATATTGTATTTGCCTTTAATAGCCTTGTGTCAAAATAAATAAAGTGTTTAGATATTGGCCTTGATGTAGTTGGAGTAGGTAGTGCTAAATTAAACTTTGCCAACCTTTATACTCCACCTCTTCTAAGTGTGGTTCGAATAGATTCTCTATCTTTAATCAACCCTATTTTTCTAAGTACATTAGCCTTTACACTTTTTTTCTATTGGTGATGGTTCTTTTATGTGCAATTAGAGTAGGTTCTTTAACTCTAACTTCTTCTTCCATTTATAAATGATTGTCACCACTAATAGCAAAAGCAAGTGGAGGGGAAAGTGGAGTAGAATGTGGATAATATAGTAAAATGTGATATAGCAAGCATGACCATAGTGCAATTAGCCTTTATGCTAAAACATTTAAGACCTACATAAAGAATATATTGAAGATAATTTGGCCTTAAGAAAATTGTTGTATAATGAAGATTTTTAGGTTTTTATGAAATGTCATACTTTATACTTTGAGATGGTAATAATTCTAAGTAGAAGTATTGAGCATTGCATATGCACCTTTACTGTCATATTAAGTATATAAAAATTTCTTTCAACATTTGATAACTTTTTGTATAGCAACTACAAGTAATTCCCTACCTTGGTTTTAGAAAGTGAAAGTGATTAGTTTATTAACTTATCTATGAGGATTATTTTGGAGCTTATCTATAATGATTTTTCCCTAAATAAAATTGTATATGAACCTTTACTTTGAATCAACTAAACTCCTTATTAATTACAAAAGATCTTTACTTTGAGAAAGCATTTACATTGGGATGAACTTGTTTATAATAAAGTTTTAACCATAAAGTTTTATACCACTTTCAACTACACTAGTGGTTAAAGGTTATCTCAAAACTTTTTCACAGCCATCTAGATTAAAAAATCTACACTCTAAATTCACTGCCTTGAAAGTCACACATTCAAAAATGCCCACAATTCCATCTTGAAATACAAGCAGCCTCTCAAGTTTACAATCGTTAGGCAATTCCATTAAAACATTCTACTCCTTTACACTCAAATTTTATTTTCTTATTGTCATATTTGACCCTTTTAATAAAGAGAATTGCAAAAGTTTTACTCAAATCCTTGCTTTAAATCAAGCAACCACATTCTAAAATCTTGCCTCACAAGAGGAAAAAATTGCAACCATGGAAGTAAAAAAGAAAAAAAAAAAAAAAGCCCACCCATCAGTAAATTTTTTGTGTTCTTTTGTATTACTTCCCATACTTAAGAAGTTGCTCTTATGCCTAGTATTGCCCTATCATAACTAAGTATGAATGCAAAAGTTATAAAAAAAAAATTTTAATCAATGCAATATAACTCTCTAGATTTTATATTAAAAGGGGATGCAATTTCCCTAGAATTCTAATGGCTAAATACTTTATACAAAATCTTAGAATTTCCTCTTGCTACCAAGCTTCTGCCCAAGATAAACATGAGGAGGATGTAAACTGAGATGGCAAATTTGTGGAAATCCTCATTTTTATGATATTTATGAACAATGTGAAAAATTTCTTTAAGATCCATATATAATACTTGGGAAGTAGGACTAACAGATGTTAAGGGCCTTACTTGCTACATATACAACTTATCCACCCAAGTATAGTCAATACTAGCCATGCTACACTTCTCACAAGCTTATGTTAAAATGAAGGTTTGCAAAATGGCACACCTCAATAAGTGTTGAAACTAGACCAAATTACTAGAAATGGAAACTTCTACTATGACCTCACCATCTTGGGCATATATAAATAAAATGCAATGAGTGGAGCATCATGAGTGTAATGTGTAGCCTCAAGTTCACAATGGAACTTAAATTTGAGGGACTTAACAAGTGTGGTTGGGTTTGTTCATGTGAAGGCAATGGAATTACAATGAGGTAAGTGACTAAGTGATGAAGTGGATGGTTTTGGCATGTGTAAAGTTGGGGACAATGGTAGCTTGGTTATAATTTCCACTATGCATATATGTGACATTTTGAAAAGTATATGTCATTGTCCTATATTTCAAGTGGTGACCACTACAAATAGCAATCTTGATTCAATTATGGGTTAAATAAGCTGTCCGTAATTAAGAATGAAATTTGAAATTTAAAATAAGAAGTCTCCAACGCCGAATCTAGGGTTTGAGGATGGGAGTGGCATTGGCGGCATTCTTGCCCCAAATCTCTGCTACCGGAGGTTCTCCCTCGCGTTTCCACCAGCAGCAGCATCGCCGGCCCCGTCGCGCTTCACGATTGGTGCCGTTCAGGGAGGACGATGACGATTCCAGCGCTTCCTCGAGCGCCAGGCCCGAGGATCATCCATATTTCTTCAGGTAAGCCGACTCTAGCAGCTCCATATCGCTTATTCCTGGGGTTTCTCTGGTTTCCCAGTGACGAGATTGAGCGTGCCGATGGCGCATTGCGATTCTTCGCGACGTGCGCCCCCGGATTGGAAGACGTTGTCGCGGCGGAGCTCCGGGCGTCCTCCATCGGAGCTCACAGCGTCAAGACCGGATCCTCTGGGGTCTACTTCTCTGGAAGCTGGCACACGGGATTCCTGGCCAATCTCTGGTCGCGCTGCGCGGTTCGCGTGCTCCAGCTCATTGCCGCCGCCGATCTAAGATCGTCGAGGTATGGACAGCGATCTGACCCCGTCTATAACTTCGTGAAGGATGCAGTGGATTGGAAGACGCTGGTTGTGGCAGGGAATCGAGGAAAGCTGCGAAGTTTCTCCATCCATAGCCGAGTGTGGGATTGCTCGGAGGTTTCCAACACGATGGTAGCTTGCACTCGAGCCAAGGACGCAATCTGTGACGCTCTCAGGGATTGCTGCGGTGGAAAGAGGCCGGATCCGCCAGACGCCTACGATGCTGCGGACTTGCCATTGTTTCTATCTCTGTATAGAGACAAGGCATTGCTATACAGGGATATGAGCGGGACGAGCCTTCACATGAGGGGTTATAGGGACGCTATGCACAAGGCCAGCTTGAACGAAGCGATAGCAGCTGGGATCTTGACGATGGCCGGGTGGAATGACAAGTTTGTGCCGGGGTTTGGAACTTTCAACAAGAATGTTGGTGGAGGGAGAGTTCTCATGGATCCTATGTGTGGCTCGGGGACTTTCCTGATCGAGGCGGCTCTCATGGCTTTGAATATCGCTCCAGGACTTTTGCGACCGCGATGGCCGTTCATGGTATAAGCTTTTTCACCTTTGATTGTGATTTTGATCTTGTTCTTTCTTTTCTTTCCTTGCAGAAATGGCACGACTACGATAAGATGGAATGGAAACTGTGCTGCAAAGAAGCTACTGAAGCGCAAGTCAAAGCGCCTCGAGATTTGCAGCTGCTAGGAAACGACTTACACGAAGGATCACTGCTCTTGTGTACTCGGGACGCCAAGAGAGCAGGAGTGGAACATCTCCTCCGCCTCAGCTGCGAGGACTGCCGGAGATACGTTCCTCCTGTTTGTCCGTCGCTCGTCACCGTGAATCCTCCGTGGGGAAACAGGCTAAACGAAGAAGAACCGAGGTAAGCAAGAAATCTATTTGGTTCCTCCTTGACGACAGTTTTTTTAAACAGCTTGATCGCAACTTACATGGCGCTGGGGAGATTTCTCAAACAGTATAGCAGCAGAGCTGATGTTTACGTGCTCAGTGGAAACTCGACTCTCACACGCCAGCTTCAAATGAAGGCCGATAGGAAGTGGCCTATCACAGTGGGAGGATTCGATTGCAGGCTTTTACACTACTACATTTTGCCTCCAAAGACGAGCAGTGGTAATAATCTCCACCTAAGTTCTCTTGTTGTCTAACTACTAGTCAATGCAGCTATGGTCGGCGCTCGCGAGGAGTCATCACAGACATAACAGTTCCATCCATCCGCGATTGTGATTTCATTTGAGACAAGAAAACCAAAAGTCCTTGAGAAACTTTCGCTGCAAAGGTACGACTTTTTCTTCGAGACAAAGAAGGGTGAATATTATAACGTGCGTTCTTACACAGAGAAAGCATCGCGATGACTATCATGACGAAAGAAGCGAGGTAGTAGTAATGCTAGCAACAGTGATCTGGAAAAACATACCGGTGTAGCTGACCGAGAGAAGAGAAAGCGAGAGAGAGTGAGAGAGGGAAGGAGCTCTCTCTCCCGGTGAGTCGCGAGCTCTTTCTTTTCTCTTTCTCACTCACTCTTTTCAGTGAGTAGTAGCAGCGAGAGGATCAGGAGGCAAAGTGTCGGCGATAGCCATCAGCTTTGATCTGCAGCAAGCATCCTTGACATCACCATTTTGGACCTCAGCTGGAGTGGAAGCAGGAGATCTAGGAGTAGAAGCAGTGGGAGTGTTTGCCTCGCTCACCTTCTCCAGAAGCTCGGCGTCGTCGCCCGCCTCCGACAGCACCAAGAGTCGCGCCCGGGCAGCGTCTCGCGTCGCCTCGCTAATGCCGCCGCCAGCGCTGCCACCGCCGCTCCTCCTCTTCGCCGCCTCCTCCGCCGCGGCCTCCTTTGGGTGGCTTTGATCCTTTCGCGATTCGATGATCACTGGCGCTGCCTGTCCGCCCATCCCCAGAGCAGCCCTAAAAACACCCGATCTACGCGAGAGAGAAGACGGATCGATGAGAGAGCGCCAAGGAAAAAAAGAGGATTTTGTTACCAGGGAGTTATTTTATATGCCAAGACGCGTCGCTCGCCCTGCTGCCTACACGCCCATCCTTAAACCCTAATTGGGTTACAACTGTACTACACGCTCTTATCCCGTTAAGCTGTCGGTTTGCGCCACGTGTATCTGTGCGCTGATTTCATCGAAATCTTATCCAGGTGGTGTATTGGATCACCAAGCGAAGAGGAAATTATATCATTACTAGAAAATGCTAGGCAATGCTGGGATTTTAAAAAATTTACTTGCACACAGCTATTCTTGCCTTGTGAGCATGGACAGGCTTTATCACTCTTGAAGCAAAGAATTGCGCTTCAAATGGTCTTGCCAATTCTTAAAATTGCCTCGGGATTCTGGTCGACCAAAAGATAGTCACAAATGTGCCACAGTGACAGGCGAGAAAGATACTAAGACCAGCGATTCCCACTCTGAGGATGGAGAGGAGCTCCACACCTCCTCTTGATTTAATATTGAAGTACAGTTTTTCTCAAGAACAAAATAGTGAAGCAGGAAAAGAGGCCATCACACACTTCTTCCAATCTGATCCGGCATGCCAGCTGTGACCTGCATGTGGTGCCAATCTCATTCAGAGAGTAAAACGTCTCAGTAGAAATATTTCAAAAGCCCCAGGCCTCTGCCGGCAGTAGAGTTTTAGTATTATATGGCAAATTCTGGGTGGTAAAATTACATACATATAATCGTTCCAACCTTTACCAACACCTAGTTATAAATATTTATCTTTTTACTTCAAGGGTAATCCAAAATTTTATGAAACAAATTAAGTGAGAAGAAAACTAAACAATGAAACTTATGTTTGTAATATTAGAAAAATGCTTTATACAAAATTAATGTACTTAAATTTTAAATAAGAATAAATATTTATTAATTTTTAAGTATCACTAATTGCAAACCGATAAAAATAAAATTACATATGTCAATATAAAAATATGATTGTTTTCAACTGTATTTCTTATACTCTTTTTTCCAAATCTTATATGAGAAAATATTATCACCAATATTTAAATTTAGTCAACAAAGAATTAAATAAAAACAATTATAAGAAATAATATCTTGTGTATAAAATACTTTTTAAAACCTAATTGCTAAATATTTGAGTCATTAATTTATATTTTAATTTTATTAATAAACCTAAATATCACTATGGTTATCAACAATTGTAATTGACATTTAAATACTATGTCACCTTTCTTTTCCCTCTTTATATATTTCATAGGTTTTGTAGTTTTTATCCATTTAAAGTTTCTAAATAAATGGGTGGATTAATGTTGCTATTAAAAAAAACTATAAAATTATTAAAAAATTTAATTTAGGACCCCATAAAAGTTTTCCTATTACTGTTTATTGACTAAAATAGCTCGAGTGGTAGTTTATTTCCCCATAGTTTGACCAAGTCAATATATTTTACTTGAGGATTGTAATAACTGTCGTTAGACTAACAAGATTAGTTTTTTATCCATTAATTTTCTGTTACTGATCCCTTGAGCATATATTGTTTTTTAGCCTCAATTTATTGTTCTCTTAATAAACATTATCATGAAGGCTATATGTTGGAAAATTTAAAACTTTGAGACTTGATAATAATAATTTTTTATTTAGTAAAATTACATTGAAATTTTTTTTAAAGGTAAAATATATAATTAATCCTAAACCTTATAAATTTTAAATTTATAATTATATACTTATTTGTAAAGCTATATCAAGTTTTATAGCATATATAGTTAATATATATTTTCTTTTATTACATTTTATAAAATATATCTAGAATATATAATGACTTAATGGAGATACTTCAGGATATTTTATGGTTTTATAAAATAAATTATTAACACATTTACTTGCATATAAATTTAAGTTATCTAAGACAGTTTATTATACATATAATAGTGGTAGAAAAAGGACTAAATAAACTAATATTAAAAAAAATTTATTATACTCAATTGTAATATATAATTATAATACTTAAGTTTTTTCATTAAGTTATTTACATTTACATTTTTGAACTTTCATCGAATTTGGGTTTAGGAAAATTTGAAAATTTTATTTTAAAGATGATTTATAAGTATTGAATGGGATATAAATCAACTATGTTTTAAAATGTAATGATAAAGTGATAAATAATATAATGATGGTTTTTGGTTTGTCTTTGAAATCACAAAGAAATTTAATTATTATTAATAACAAATTTAAAATGTTTTTAGAAATTTAATAAAAAGTAAAACTTATTATTTTGTTCTAAAAATATATAATTTACCTTAAGTTTACTATCAAATATTTAAGTAACGTAACTTTAAATAAACTTGCAAACTATTCATCCGAGAAGGTTTTAATATTATACAAGAACCTTCACACAAAGGACAGTTGATTCATTTTCTGCCGTCAAGGATGACAATAGCTCTGCTATATCTACGCTTTCCTGGAAAACAGACAAGGTCAGCCTCCACAAGCACTGTCATTCTCAAAGTTAGACTCACCCCGCGCCTGGCAATTGTTGGTGTAACTTTGTCGAGTGGCAGATCACGAGGTCCAAGTACTAGAACGTCATTCGGTTTTATGCGCGCAGTCATACTTCCGGGAGCAAGCCACTGGCAGTGGAATTTGATCACCGAGAGGCAAAGTTTGCAACTCTACTTACCGTCGCATCTCCTGTGCTACAATCGACCAAGGCAGTCGCAAACGCTCCAGGGCCGCCCACCGCTATGTCGCTCCCCGAGATGGCTACCACTGTCGAGTGAAAGGATGGTGTCCAATCTTGAGCCTGGCATGCGTGTTACCAGCAGTTTTAGCCAAGAAGCTAGCTCACTCACCTTGAGCGTGTCCATGCTTTCCAATGGTTCGTCTTGTATGTCGTCGCTGTCGTCGTATGTCCATTGGGCCCTTATTTCCTCCATCTCCTTCTCATCCTCGCGGAGGTCTTGAACTCTTCCTTCTATGGCAGTCGTTACCCTGGCTTTGGTTGAGAGTCAGGGAAAAAGAAACCACACCATTACCTCGACATAAGATACTCAATAGCATGCGAGAGATCTCTGTGACTTTCGAATGCTTCCGAGCACAAATCTTGGAACGTATACACCCTTTCATGTGTAAGACTCGTGGCCCCTGTTAAAAAAAAAAGGGAACGATCAAAGGGACGAGAAAACGTGAGATAGAAACTCACGCTTGTTATGTGATCCGCAGCCATCCAGAACAACAAGAATTATAGTTTTCCCCTCGACGTCCAGAGACGTGATAAAGCTCTAGCAGAAATTTTCATTGCATGATTTGGCGCAACAACACTTACCAAGTTACAAGGCTGCTGCTTGTCGATCCTGGCGCAAGACACAAGATTGTCGACATGGATTTGCCGCCCAGAACCAGGATACCAGATTCCCCCTTGCATCACAAAACCCTAAAAAAGGTATCTGTATTAGGGTTTAAGGTTTTGGCTTATATATAACGGTGTTTAGAAATGAGAATAAAAATTGCCTTAGGATTAAATTAATCAGGAAGTTTTGGAAATGCCTTTTTTCTGAATTTAATCTTATAATATATGGATATGGCAAAAGTCTTCCAGATCAAATTTCAATTTGAAGTATGTAATTTACATGATTCCAAGAGAGAGAGCGAGTTCCTACAAGAGATACACGCTATCAAGAACAGCGAAGCCAGTGGCTACGCCTCCCTCGTCTACTTTCGAGGCTTTTGTTCTCAGCAAGTAGCCACAATCCTTGTTGGTGATTTCTCTTTCGCCATTCCTGCAAAGGGATTGAGAAAAGAAAAGAAAAGAAGTGAAATGGCACGAGATACTCACCTCAAGTATGCGCTAAAGATTCCCAGCTCCGAGACTGCTTGCTCGGCGCTCCATTCGCCTCCTCGCAGGAGATAAGACGTGTACGTCGGTGGGAAAATGCGCTGCATGAGGATATAAGCCGAAAGCCCGGCTCCTCCGTCTCTCAGTAGCTCTTCGAGCTTTGCTTTCACAGCGCTGCCATAGATGTTGTTTCCTGTGAAAGGCGAAAACGATGAGCTCGACGCTTGCAAGCTGGAGAAACTTGGAAACGAAAACTCACCACCGCCTTCGCGTTGAGGCTTTAGAACAAATAGCTCGGGCTGCTGGATGGCTTTGTTGATGATCTCGTGACACTCTTCGCTGTCGAGGCCCCACAGCCCCGCAAAGCACTCACGAATGATCTCCGCGGCGTTTTTGTCTTGAACAAACCTTGAAGAATGGATGAACTGTCAAACTAGCTGAAAACAAAGGACGGCAATACCTTTCTAGTACATTCGGCTTGGCAAGCTCTTGTTGCACTTTTTTGGTTCCAGCTAAGTGGTATGAGATCGATGGACATTTTATGGCCGAGGAACGCTCCAGCAGCAATCTCGCGTGCCATTCCTTGTACCGAAACAACAAGAAAATAAAAAAATAGCCTCGAATGGCTCACATACCCGCTCGGAAGGATAATCAGTGGGTGCGTAGCCTGATCTGTAGTAGATGACCGCGACAGGATGCCCATCACTGCGAAAACCAAACACAAAAGAAAAGCAAAAAACATAACTGTAACTGGTAAAATCCAAAAAAGATTGCACTCACACAGAAAGCGTTCCATTGGAAGATAGATGCGCTTGAGAATAAAGTTCACTTAGCGTTCGACGAATCACATTGGCACCGTGACTGACTTAAAGTCAAGGAACAAAAACATCAACAAACAGAGAAAAAGGATACAGCTCGTGAAGATATTTTTCCAGCCAGAACTGATCATACATATTCCGCTCGTTTGGTTGTACAACAACGAGCACAGCTGCGCTGGGAGTAGAATGTGTCAGTAGTTTTTAAAGCATGCATCCACTCACCTCGTGTTCCCAAATTCCTTCCAAGCAAGTCCCAAGACATCACCAAATGCAACAGCTGCGTTGTTCTCGGGAACTTTTCCGGGGTCAAGATGCTCGACTCTTTTAATGACGTCCCTGAGGAAACAATCATAAGTTATCTACAGCTATGAAACAGGAGTGAATACCTGTGCAGCTGGCTTACAAGTGAACCAAGGCCAGCGAAAGAAGAAGAGATGGTGTTTATCTCAACCTGTAACAGCTTGCCTGTGACCATATCTCGCATATAGTCCGACCGATGCATTCCAAGGTGTATGTTCTAAAATGCATAGATCAAGTCAGGAGTAGAATCAGAATGAGGAAAGTCTGAATCTTACTTGCACAATGCCTTCAGCTCGAATCTTCGAGTGAATGTCGAGCAGTTTGTCCGTGAAAGGATCAGCAGTACGTGTCCTGAGAAAAGGTGAGCAGAAAGAAACGGAGTCCAAAACAAATACAGACTTTGCGAGTGTTTGCTCAAGAAAATCACTGTCGGAGCTCACACGATCAACGAGCGTGTTAAAATGCGATCCAAGGTTGAGAGCTTGCTGGAAGAGAGCCTCGGGAAAGGGAGAAGGAAGAAGCGCAACCGGTGCATGAACAATTCCAACACCTGGATTTACAGAGCCCTGCGCAACAGAAAAGTATGAAAAAAAAGAAGGTTTCGACCGAAAAGCCCTTTACCTCGATCGATCTATCACCAATGACGAGGCCATTCAGAGAGGCCCAGGTGAGCGCCTTGGAAACCAGCGTTGCAGCGACATCCTTGCTCACAGAAACTTGGGCTCGTTCCAAGTTCTCTTCTTCCTTTATTTTCGAACTCAGCGCCATTGCTCTCACTTGCCTTGCCTGGAGATGTGGGCTGAAAGGATTCGCGGAGGTAGCCACGCCCAGCATGAGTTCGAACCCTCTTACTGTTATGATGCATTCAAAGCAGACTTTTTCTGTGAGATCTGTGAAGTTAGCGAAGGAAAATCTTCCGTGTTCTTCTTAACTGGCCTTCCCGAGGATGTTTCTCGACAAATTTCACCCAGCTTCCATCTAGGCCTTAAATCCACCTGAAAAAAGCCACTGGCTCGAGTGAATACAAAAAGGTAACATGAGTTACCCAATAGTCTTCAGGTTCATCGACGGGAGGTGGTGGATCATAAAGCCCCAGACGAAGGTACTCGACTCCAGTCCATGCAACCATCACTCCTGAATTCGGAAGGTCCGGTGAAGCAGCGATGAATTGCAATTTCAACAAACCATTGTCTGTGCAGAGACGTGGTGGAGGAAAGAACAAATCCAGTTGATGCTCTTTTGCTACAGCGCCAAGTCGACTTCTAAGGTACTTATTCGAAGCTACGCCACCAGCGATAACCTGAGCCATCACGAATTAATCCAATGCTTTGGCCAAGCGAAGGCTTACCATGCGCTTCATGCATGGTTCCAATTCTCTGGCCCACTCCAGTGCCCGGCGGCATCTATCTTCAAGGTGACGCACAGCCACCACCTGCATTACAAACTTCAGCCGATAATCAAAAATTATGTAACAAACCTGAAAGGAAGCGGCCACATTGGCTCGTGATTGTCGATCGCTTGAGCTTGCAGAAGCTAAAGGTACTGCACCATTGCTGCCACGTCAAGAAAAACTTTCATAAGCCAAGACACTGGTAGTGAAGTCTTACATGTTTAAAGATTCAATTGTGAGCTTCACTTGAGTCTTCAGTCCCGCATACGAAAAGTTGCAATCTTTATGGGACCTCATTGGTACCTGTCAGAACAAGTATACATAGTCAAATAAAGGGATCCAGGCATGTTGCTTACAGTAAACTTGAACGCGTCTGCATCTCCTTCTAGAGCAAGTTCTTCAAGAGCAGGACCACCTCCTTTACAAATGTCAAGACCAAGGAGCCTTGCTGTTTTGTCATAAGCCTGCAGTTTTCATGGGGAAATAATTGAACAGGAGCTCAACAACAAACCTCTCCAACGGCATCATCTAAAGTAGTTCCTAGTTCCACATAATCGCCCACATCTTTTGCAATGAGAAGAAGGTTGTGACCACCTGCCAATTGCGTGCTTGTATGCGATAGAAAGAGACTTAAGCACAAACCTGAAACCAGAAGAACAAGGAAGGGAAACTGAATATCAGCATTCGTGAGTCTGGATCAAACAAGCCACAAGAAACACAGGATCAAGACACTAGAGAAAAGAGAAATGAAACCTTGCAACTAAAGCGTGAGCTTCCATGTGATGTACTCCAACAAATGGTAACCTCCAGCAGCGAGAAATAGAGCGAGCCTTCCTTACACCGACTGTAGAAAAACAACGTACTCAGAGTAAGCCCAGGAAAGATCACAAAGAACGTTACCATCCAAGCACAAACTCAAGCCAGGACCAATTGTCACAGCTACTGCTGCCAGATCTGACTCCTTCACTTTTGCATTCTCTAGAGCTTGTGCCACCACCTAAAGAACATAAAAGAACTCTCAAAGCGTCCATGGAAAGGAGAATAGCTTACTTCGTCGATTGCTTGCTCGTGGTTTAGACGTGCTGCTAGAGGCATCACCCCACCATACTGTCGAAGCAACTCTGCCTTGAATCCAAAGAAACAAAACAAAACAGAATAAAAACGAAGAAGAGAGAAAAAAAGTACCTGCGATCTCAGTGCCTCTCCCAAAATCTTTCCGTCGCTAGTGACCTGATACGAAGCTTGAGAAAATGCAATCTCACTGCAAGAAAACCCACTTACAACAGCGGCTCCAGTGTCGTCGCAGCTCGTCTCGATTCCCAGAACAGGCAGCGGACCAGCAGCCGCAGCGAGAAAAGAAGGGCGCCGTGCAGGAATTTGCGCATTTGGGACGAATGTGAGGCGCCTTTGGCAGGGATTGGCAAGAGAAAGCGCCATAGCTCGAAAAACCCTAAATCGAGGGAAAGAAGATTCAAAAACGAGTTTATAACATTACATAACAAAGAATTACATTGCTTTGCCTGGCATTGTTTCGATTGATCAGTCGATACCAAGTCCCAAGTGCGATTCAAATCCAGTCTAGCACGCGATCAAGAACAAAGATTTAATCTTGCTGGAGAATAGAAATGACGAGAAGATCAAAAGCATTTTCATGGAGGAAAAAGAAGAAACTCGAATGAAAAGAATTTTGGATCCACTAAGCTACCCAAAAATGCTACTCACAGAGCTATCCCCATACACCCGCCAGATGGTTTCACCGAGGAGGTTCGCCACCGAGAGAATTGTAAGCTCCTTGAAGCTCTCTTTCACTGGAATCGTGTTTGTGATGATAACTTCTTCGAAGAGACCACCTGATAGGCGCTCGATCGCAGGAGGACTGCAAGAACAGCGAAGTGAATACCAAAATCCCACTGAGAGAAAAATGTGTGAACCTGAAAACACCGTGTGTGCAGCAAGCGTAGACAGCTCTGGCTCCTTCTTGACGAAGAAGCGCAGCTCCATTTGCTATCGTCCCTGAGAAAAGAAAACAACCACGCAAATCACTTCCCGAAGAACAAAGCAAAGATGAAAGATTCAATTCACCAGCAGTGTCAATCATATCATCTACCACGACTGCGATTTTGCCATTGACATCACCGATAAGATTCATCACCTGAAAAGAAAAAGAAAAAGAAAATCTTTGAAAGAAACCAAAGAAGAAAACAAATCGCACCTCAGAAACATTGTGACTTTGACGTCGTTTGTCCACGATCGCGAGCGGTGCATCCGAGAGTTTCTTGGCGAAGGCCCGAGCGCGAGCAACACCACCCACGTCCGGGGAGACTACTACGAAATCGTCAGCTGATATCATCTTGCTTGCGAGGTAGTCCAGTATAACGGGCTGTAGCTCCAAACATAAGCTCGCTTAGAGGAGAGAAACCAAAGTTACCTGACCATAAACATGATCCACGGGAATGTCAAAGTAGCCCAACGCCTGCCCCGAGTGTAAGTCGCATGCAAGAACACGGTTCGCACCGGCTTCTGTCAAAAGATTTGCTACAAGCTTTGCTGCAATCGATTCACGTCCTTGAGTCTGAAAAACATCACACGACGTGTAGATTGAAAGAAAAAGCTGGATCACAGTGACTACCTTTCTGTCAGCTCTGGCGTATCCAAAGTATGGAATTACTGCTGTGATGGTCTTGGCGGATGCACGCCGGCATGCGTCTATCATGACCAGTAGCTCCATCAAGTTCTCATTTGCGGGTGGACAAGTCGGCTGGACCAAGAACACTTCACTGCCTCTCACGCTTTCCTGTAGCTGGACGTAGATTTCACCGTCAGCAAAGCGCTTGATGCAAATCTTTCCAAGTTCTAGGCCCATGTAGCACGCGATTTCCTGATAGCAACAGAAGAGACAAAGGGAGGAACAAAACAGCGAAAGTCTTAACAATAGAGACAATGAGAACAAAAGAAAGTTTTCCTTCTACCTTGGCCAGTGGCAGATTCGCTGTTCCCGAGAAAATTTTCAAGCGATTATCCGGCCTCGAGGAAGGCATGTTGATTCCTCTCGCCGTGAGAATGTCACGTTGTGAGAGGACGCTCTTGAGCTCAGCCTGAACCGACCTAGATCAACGCAAATCCGGAAGAGGAGGGGGAAATCACTCACTTCAAAACTCGAGCTCGAGCAATCTTTGCTGTTGATCGAGAATCCAGCTTGCGAGACGCACAATGCGGCTGCTCTGCCGCCTCTCCTGCCATAGTTCTCGCCCAATCGCACTGACAGTGAGCTAGGGCTCACCAGGGAAGCCATGGCGCTTCCACTTGCCAATCACACGATAGCCATAAGCCCTAAACCTTTGCAATGGGGAATATTCTTTAAAGTGGGGACGAATATGCTCCACCGGGTATATGTCTATCTAGGGTTCACTGATAGTCATATTGGCATTTTTTTTGTTCTCTCGTCCTCCACGGAAGAAGGCGCAAGGCGGTGGGAGCTGCCGGCAGGAATTGGGGTTTCTACGCTGCGCTCTCCATGCTCGCGAATCCAGATTCAGCTCTTGGCATCGGCAATGCCGGGTAATCGCGAGCGATATTTCGGTGTGATGCGCAGGGATTCGTCATTTTTCCGTGAAGGTGAGGGCGCTTGGGGCACATTCTGTGTGATCTAGTGACGGAGCCGGCGGGTAGGCGCTTGCAACGCGCTGCTAGGATAGCCGCAGGGAAAAGATCTGGAAATCGGCCGCTAGTAAGATGGTGAAGGAGGATGGAAGCCGACGTGCGGATAGTGTTGTGAGTGTCGATCGTGTTGGGTGTGGTTTCATGGACTGAGGCTTTGCGGTGTTTGTGGCGCAGGTGCTTGATATCAACATGGCCATTGAGGAGCTACACAAGTTTAGTCCCCATGAGATGAAGAAAATCCTTCAGGATACTCACTGCCTAAGCTTCCGTGTGAGCTCAACAACGAAGGGAGCGATCGTCAGTGTAAGCTTTTGGAAATTTTTTAGGCATGTTGGGTTTTCTTTCTAACGCTTTACTGGATCTAGGTGGACATCGAGAAGCTAGCTACTTTTCTTCCACTTCACTTGCTCGCGTGTGTAGCGTCTAGCATCTCCCAGCCCCGATTTCGCTATCTTCTTCGAGGAGTTCGGCTTTTACACTCGTTAAGTAATTTGGCTCCTCGTTATCCTAAGCTTGAGCAGGTACTGGACTTTGACTGACCGATTGAGTTTCTCAAGGTTTCATTTCTTTATGCAGATACTGCTTCAAGAAGTTAAGATACGCGAACAGATAATCGACCTAGTGATTTTCATGCTGATTGTTCTGGCAGATGTCGAGCCGGTGCGCCCCATTTTTGCTTTTCCTACTTTTCTGAGGGCCTGTTTTGTATCCAGGATGGTCGCTGGGGAAGTTTTCTAGCAGTACTTCACTCGGCTTTGGTAGCCTGCTGCCTGTACCTTCTGACAGCATTTGTCACGCCAGAATGGCGAGACGTTGCTCCTGTTTTACTGGCTCATCCCAAGGCAAGCAACACTTTTATTGCATCTCAAGGTAACACTTTCTCTATGCCAGGTGGACATATTTATGGATGCTGCGTTTGATGCTGTGAGGCGAGATATTGGGCTGTTGCAAGGGAGATTCAAAGCTTTGAGTGCAAAGCTAGCAAAGGAGAAGACACCTCCACTCTGTGGTGCTGAACAAGTTTCATCGACAACGTTGGAGCATTGCGAAGCTTCTTTGCAGGTTCTACAAGCTCTGTCTGAACCCCAAGCTTTCAGGGATCGTTTGCTTAATCATAAGGTTTGTTGTCTCCTTGTGGTTTTCTGTTTTTATTTACCTTGGTTACTTGGTTGCAGGAACTCTGTAAAAATGGTGGTATTCTATCACTAGTTTTGGTAGTGCTGCAGCTACAACTGCCATCACATTTGCAACACATACAAGCTTTATCAGCATCAATCTCTCGCGTGAAATCTAAAGTTCTTGCAATGGTGAGATTTGATTCAATTTTGTTCGGATTTTGATTCGGGAGGATTGCAGCTTTTGAAGTTTTGTGAGACGGAAACAGTCTCGTTTCTGGACGAAGTGGCAACTGATCCGAAAAGCATGCAGTTGGCGAAGATGGTTGCAGCAGAGGTAAAACCTCTTATTTGTCTCCGTATGACTGACTCCGCCTTGCAGATTGTTTTGCTCGTCAAAAATGCATTCTTTGAAACGTTTACAGTGCAAATGGTTCAGGAAGATATTGAAAAGTGCCCAGCCGGAATGCTTTATTTAAATGCTATGCGGCTTGCGGATGTTTTGTCGGATGACTCGAACTTTCGCAACTTCTTTATGGACCGTATAGTAAGTGCTTGTTGGACTTCTTCACTCATTAACGTATCATTTATATTACAGGCTCCGGATTTAGCTACGATTTTGGCTATGGATCCCTCAGAATTTTTTTCCAAGTGGTGTGGGGGTTGCTCAGCTCAAGATATGGCTGACTGTGAAATTGACGCTACCCTCGTCTATGATCCGTTTCATGGTTCAGGAGCAGCAATGTTGTCCTTCAAGCCATCGCCAGGAACTTCTGAAGAAGGTAACAGTGGCTGTAGCTTGTCTATTAAGCCGGTGGAGCCGACGTTCTATGCCCAAGAACTCTCAGCTTTGCTAGTAAAGCTATTCGCAAATCTCCATTGTTTCAATCCCGAAGTTTGTCCAGGTATTATTGTTTTGTCATTTTATCCTGACATGACATCATTTCTACAGCCGACGAAAAGGATCGATTTTTGTGTTTGTTTATGCGCTGTCTCTCCGCCGGTCCACTGAGCCCCTTAAGCAGCTCTTTTTTTATGACTTCGGATCAAACTGCTGTCAGAGTTTGCGAGAATCTTCGTAAGTTTTATCAATCACAACATTTCCATCACAAGTGCATATGCTTTATAGATATACTTGTCGATCACGTGGCTTCGCTTCCTTCTGATTTGGCAAACGACGAGGATGTCCAGCTTGCTAGGTATCATTATGCATTTTCTCTTCTGTGATTACTAATGTGGTTTTGTGGTTCTAGTGTTTTTGCTGCAGAGTTACATGAAGCATTTTGCTTATCTCCCGACGTGCATGCGGTGAGATTTTTCTGCATGCTTTATATAAATAATGTGTTTATAACTTTGAGAATGCAGGACGCTCCCGTGGTTACATACGTACGAGATGCTCATGAACAACGGCTTGGAGCTATAGTAGCTCGCCGGGTTCCTTCAGAACGCTGGCAAAGATTACAACGCGAGATGGAGCAAAATATTCCCGAATGCGATCCCCATATTTTACCCGCTCATGAGGAGACCACTCCATTACACGTCCCTGAGGTAAATTGTGCGGTTGTAGAGCTTATTTTTTATTATTTTTTGTTTGATCAGGAAGCTTCATCTGCTGTTGATAGCAAGGCAGATGTCAACGTAGACGTTAAGCTGCAAGAAGACGAAGGGCCACAGTCCGGTGTACAGTCCGGTGTAAAAGTAGAAGAGGAGTGTGTTTCTGCCAGGGAATCTGATGCGAAGGACTTGCCTGTAAAGACAGAACTTGATGAGGTGGTCATGAAGACGGACACTGAAGTGAAGGAGCCAGATGAAGTGGCTCCAAAGGTGGAGGAAGAACCAAAAGAAGATATCAAAACGAGCGTAACAAACGTACCCATAATTGATCCGCTGCCCGTGATTGAACCGCTGCCGGAACCAACAGTGCTGGTACATCCTAGCGGTTTGCAGGCTGCTACACCAGTTATAGAAAGACCACCAGAAAGACTACTGCCACCTCGGCCTCCGCAAGTTCAAGTAGAGCCACTACAAAACCATCCTGCGGCAGTTGAGGAGAGGGAGAGAATAAGTTTAATACGGAAGCATGAAGATGAGGCCAGAGCTGACCATCATCATATGGAACAACCTCGAAAGAGGCAACGACGTATCATGAGCGAGCAGCAAATTGCTGTGATGGAGGCTGCTCTGAAGGAGGAGCCTGAAATGCAAAGATACGCCGAGAGAGTACGACATTGGAGCATTATTCTCAACAAGATGGTAAGTTCTCTGCTTGAAAATTCGTGTTCTCAGTTTCTGCTGTTTCAGGGTCCCGAGATCACTACTGGTCAGCTAAAGAACTGGTAAGCTTTAGCACTCGTCATTTATCCTCTACTCACTTCGCAATTTCAGGATAAACAACCGGAAGGCGAAACTCGCCAAGCTGGCTAAAGAGGGCCGTTTGGATCCCGCCGTTGTCAACAGACCAAAACCATGCTACGTTAGTAGCAGCAATTTCGAAGAACCACCGGTTATTGAGGAAGACTTACATCACAGAACAGCATATAACAACAATGTCAGCCACCGTCCGGAGCCGCCGGTGATCGAAATGGAACCAAGTGTCACGCAGATAGGCCAGAACGTCGTACTCAAGGATGAGCTGGGAAGAGAGATTGCCTACGGCATCACAAAGGCAGTCACGCCAGGCGAAGAAGGAGCTGTAGCAATGTGTCTGGTGGAGATCGTCGATCTCAAGGTTGATCGAGGGACAAAGCTTCCAATCGGATCGGACTTCATGGGAACAACGTTTGACGAAGCAGAGAAGAAGCTTGGAAAGTTGATAGTAGCTTGGCCATCAAATAACGTCCGGCTGAGGCTCTAGGTAACATATTGTCTTGGACTTTAACTAGCTAGCTACAACAATTCATTACTAGGAGCAATCCGGCTGGCCGAGCAAGGAGGAGCATTTTGTACACTAGGAGAGTGCGTCTCAGGCAAGGTTTTAGCCAGATTTATTGTACAATTTCACATACCTTTTTAATTCAACCTTCTTCAGGAGAGCAGCGATTCCATGCTGGTTTCTTACGAGCTCTATTCCATACTCCAGGCAAGAGATAAGACAGCAAACAGGATCATTTTACTGTTTGTTACTGCGTTGGTAATCTATAAATTCTCTTTTATTTCCAGAATCAGATGCTTCTATGTGCGAAGGAAGAAGAAGGCTTAAGTTTCGGACTGAAGAAGCTGCTGTATCTAAACGATGAATCCAGAGACGCGCTTCTTCTCATCGCGGCCAATTCAGAATGGCCAGAGTGACTGCCGCCAGTGGACAGGTTGGAGGAGATTTGCGACCCAGGTTTCACCGGACGAAAGCAAGATGACGAGGACGACGAAGAGAGATCATCGAGCTCGTCGTTGCCAGCTTTTAAAGCCACTTCGATCACAAGAGCAGCGGGACTTGGAATTTGAGGGCCGAGCTCTTGCGGTGGAGGAGAAGCCCGTTCTTGGTGGTGGCACTCCGGCTGCTCCTCGTGGTGAAGATAGTAATTTTCGAGATCGACGATGTCCTGACACGAGACGAACGTCCGACAAACCGGGCAGCTGGGACGAGACGCAAGCCACTTGTCGACGCAGACAACATGAAAGACGTGCTTGCACCGCGGCAAGAGCCGGAGAAGATCACCGCCTTCGTACTTTGACAAGCAAACCGGGCACTCGTCCACGCCGAGAACTCCGACTCCCTGAAGCTTGAGCGAAGGCTGGAGCTTCGGGAGAGCATCGACGAGCCACTGGGAGAGGGTGCCGTGGGAGTCGAGTGGTAGCCTCAAAGCCCCGCCTTGGACATGGTGGTGGCGAGTGGAGGAGAAATTCCCGTTTCCAGTCGCGGGGCTGGAGGCTACGGCAGCGGCTCGCGACGAGAGCACCCTCTTGCAATGCCGGCCGTAGAGGACGAGGAAGAACGTCACACAGAGAAGAGCTGCGAGGATCCCGACCACAATCGCGACTTTGGGCTCGAATCCACACGGTACTTCAGAGTCTTCATCGGAGCTGGGATCTACAGATGGAAGGAGAGGTGGCATCGAGGATGAGGCGATGATGGGCAACAAAAACACCATCTTGGCTGGTTCTTTCCTGGAGCTCTTCCTTGCAGCCTCTCCCTCGTGTAAGTGACTTCCTGTCTTACTACTACTCTTCTTTTTGCTAGCTCCTCATTCCTTTTTTTCCTGCTGTTTTCCAGGCGTGATCTAATCGGGCCAACACAAACCGTTGAGCTGCGGCTACTTCAGCTCCAAGGGGCCGCAGCAAAACGATCAAAATCGCATTTTTTACCCAGCACAGCAGACTATAGCGTCATAAAGACATTTAACAACGACAATGCCTTGCGAGCGAGGATCCTGGACCGTTTGCTCCTCGATCAGTCGCGACTTAGAGGACCTTAAGAATCCATCCCGCCCCGCTGCCAAGGGCGACTACTTCTACTACGAACAACCTCATGAGCACATCATAAGGCTACAAAAATTCCCGTTTCAGGCAAGTTCTCCAAAAGTTTCTTCGTTTGGAATGGATGACTCAGCTGCTGCGACTGGCTGTTTCTATTCCAGTGCAAGCCTTCGCTCTACTGTGGAGGAGACCCATTGGCGACCCCGGGCTTATCCTCTTCAATGCTGCTTCCCGAATAAGACTTGGATCTTCCTGGCGTGCATGGCGAGCATGTGTACGTATTTTCTTTGTTGTGTGGCGTAGGGTGTGATCTTCATCCGGCTGTGGGTCAGCGTGGAGTTATATCGTGTTCTCGTCGTTGCTCGGCCAAGTGTTGTCTTGGCTGTCCTCCTTACAAGTGTTGCTAGCTTTTGGTGATGATTATTGTCGGTTCAAGTGCTTTCGTGAGTTTCCTTCTTTCCTTTGTAGTTCTTATATCTTGCTTGCTCGATTAAAACTACTTTTTGTCGAGAGCTACAGAGATGACACCACTGCTCGTCCTGGTTTGATTTGATGTCCCTTCTACTAACAACAGAGACAGGGCTCTCTCTAGTTCTGTTCACCAGCAATTTTTTGGAAGATCGCCAAAACTTCAACGCATCGAAATAGAAAATTCGAGGGAGATATCAGCATCGTTCCGATGAGATACCGCTCGCTTGGAGATTAGGTGGTAAGCACATTTCACCAATAGAACCTTCATTTTTGTCACTAATCTCTTTTTTTCTATGTTCTCTTTGTTTAGTGCTAGCTCTCCTTGTCAAAGCTTTCGAAGACTGGTAGCTAGGCGGCGTCTTCCCAAAGGCGGGGCCTTTAGATGGGAAAAATTCCGTGACGTGACTTCGATCGTATAGAATACCAGCTTTTTTAGAAGCTCACTAATCCTTGGACTCGAAGGTTGGAGAAGAACGCTCGCTCGTCCATTGTGTGTTCGAGTAAAGTATGGGGAGCGAGGCTCTGTTTCAAGGCTGGGACTGGGATCTACTCCTCCCGAAGTTGCGAAACGAGAAAACCCGCCCGGTTGACAAGGACCTCTTGAGCGACGCCTTGAAAGATCCAGACTTTCGAACCCACAGCAGCGGTCGGCTGCTGCTAACGCTACTGCCGCTGCGATCGCTGGACGAAGCTGACGAAGAAGAAGAGGCGGCGTAGCTCGAGACGCCGGTTTCGATCTTCCCGGGCGACGAGCATGGCTCCTCCACCACCTCAAAGTCGAGCACCACGTACTCGTGATCGCGCTGGTCCTCACGGAGGTTACACAGGATCGTGGAGAGCTCGGCGGAATTGTTGGGCGCGAGGAGGAAGCCCGAGTCGCGGTGGCAGGGTGGCGGCGGTGGCGGTAGCGGCGATGACAGTGGTGGCTGCGCGAGGACGAGCATCATTTCGTGGTAGCTGACGGGATTGGATCCTGTGGAATGGGACCTGCGAAGGACCGGAGGGATGGCTCGGCTCTTGGTGGCCGCCTTTCGCCGCCGGTGGTCCAGTTGGAAGCTCAGCGATCTCGGCAGCCGCTGCTTCCTCATGAGCTCTTCGTCCCCTCCTCGATCATCGCAATGCGGCTCCTCCAGCTCCGGTGGATGAAGTTGGCGCTCTTGATCATCATCACCTCCTTCTGGATTGCCCATCGTCTGGATCGGTGGAGTGAGCAGCAGTGGCGCGATCGGGTGTTGATCCGGCGGTGCCATCACTGGCGCGCGGCACAGCGGGCAATTGGAGTGCGATCGCAGCCAGACGTCGATGCACGAGAGATGGAAGGCGTGCAAGCACTTTGGGAGGATGCGTAGCTCGTCGTCCTCCTCGAATTCGCCCAGGCACACCACGCACTCGCTGCCGCTCACCACGCCCTCGCCGCCGACGCGATAGACGTAGACCGGGATCTTCTTGACGATGGATTCGTCCAGGCCGGTGTTCATGGCCAGCAGCCAGCCCTGTTCTAGATCCCCGGCGCTCAACGACGCCCCATGGAGATTCTCGCCGCGACCGCGGCGATTGACACCGCCGCCCCGGCCGCTGAGACCCCAGAAGATCTGCCACGCGCTGCAGTACTTTGCGAAGACCTTGTAGTAGCTGACGAGGAGGATCGCGCTGCCGAGGAGCGCGACGCTGGCCACGATCGCGGGAGTGAGGATGGACGTCCTGCTGATGCCACCGCCCGAGGAGGAGGAGCGAGGGGATGGAGGAGGGAAGAAATCGACAGGGGGATAGGGAGGCCAGTACCAGGGTGGATAGGAGCTGTAAGGGGGGAAGGGGAATGGAAATCCTGGATCATCGACAGTGGGAACTGCGTAGTCTTGCGGCGCCATGGCGCGGTTCTTGGATGATTGTTGGAAATTCCTGTGTGTTCTTGCGAGATCCTTGGAGCGCGAGGTGTGGAGATGAGGCTCCGTCATTGCTATAGCTCTGGATCGCGCGATTCTTCCATCTGCGAGATCATATGGATCGGTGAATTAGAATGCGGGGGAGGAGAATTGCGTGAAATCTAGACTGGGATCGATCAACCGATGGCCGATCTTGCTCCAGAGCGAAAACAACAGTGGAAGTAAATGATCGATCTACTCACGGACACGGTGGAGCGATTTAGTTATCGTCGCGGCTTACCAGATGAATCTCGCGGAGCGAAGCGAGGGCCAGTCGTGTTCTATCCGCCCTAAAGAGAGGAGAGACGAGAGCTCGTTTTCTTTTTCTTTCTCTCCGTCTACCCCCTGCCTCTCTCATTTTCAACGCTCCGGACCGCATCTGGACCGTCGCCAGGATCCAACGGCCAGGGGATGGATGAAATCTTGGCCGTCCGATGGGCGAGGGATTAGGGTTCTAAGCTGGCGACGGCGATGGCGATCAAGAGGGAGGAGCGGCGATAAAGAGGTATGCGCGATCCGACTGAGCATTTGATCGATTGTGTCCAGAGATTTGGCCATGCCGCATTGATTGACAAGAGATGGGAATGTTTTGGTAGAGTGTCTTCCGTTATAACATAGAACACTGGCTTGTTTTCTTTCTATCAGGGGTCAAAATGTAGCTTTTAGTTCTTAGCTATTGTTTTAAGCTTTTGTCGGGAGTTTATCTGTGTTCGTGTCAGCTCGATTGATTCTCAAAGCCTTTTTTTTCTAGCACCGACTCGTGGCCTGCGTTGCGCTTCTTTTATTAAGGAAAGAAGGTAATGATTCTCCTCTCATCAAGCTAATCTCTCTAATGCTGTCCTAGTGCTCCATCAGCTCTAGTGATCGTCGACACGGGCTTCCAAAGACAAAAAAGAAAAGAAAAGAAAAGAAAAAAAAACAGAGAGAGAGAGAGAGAGAGAGACAGAAAAAAGAAAAGTAGGTGCTTTTTGTTTTCCTTTCAAAGTTTTTGACACTGTAGCATTCTACAGGGACTTCTTTGTGCTCGTTACGTCGAATGGAGATGAAATTCAAAGGTGGGAATCTAGTTTTCTTTCTCTCTTCCGGGTCACAAATTCGTTTTCTGTCCGATCAGGCTTATCTTCGCTACTCCAGGCACATTTCTTCTACGTGCTTGCATAAGGAAAGCAAGTGGAGTGTTTTACTTTTTCGAGAACGATCAAAGTGCTCGTCTTGCACAGGCTCATCGGGCATGAATCAGGTATCCAATTATCAGGAATGGTGTACGAACACGATTCCTTGATCAATCCAGACGAAACATATTAAAATCCTGTGAGTATCTCTCCCTCGCACTTCAAGAATTTACAATCTTTGCTAAGTATTTCCATACACAAATTTACACAGATTGATAGATATCGCTGGAAACGGCCCTCCTCAAGCTATGGGGACGACTCAAAGATTCATTCACGGCATTTTCGCGGCGGCCATTATCACCATGCTCTTGTTCTGGAAAGAACGACTGTATCGGTGGGCTACTGTTGCTTCGATGCAAAGATTGGAGAAACCTGTCCCTTGCAGAAACTTTTGGCGTCTTGGACCGTTGCTCCGAGGAGTCCAATGAAAACTGGTCTCGTTGCTCCGAGGAATCCAACAAAGACTGGCTCTCGAGTTCCTCCGATCGAGTTTGCTCGTCGTTGATGGCAATGGAGACTTCAGCCGGGGGCTGAGAGATGGAGTTCGGACTTTCGGGGTGGTCGGAGCAACACCTGACGGGAACTAAGATGCATCGACAAAGCGGACAGGTGGAGTGAGAAAAGAGCCACATATCGATGCAGTCGGTGTGGAAGAAGTGCGAGCAACCGGGGAGGATCTTGACAACTTCGTCCTCTTGGAAATCCGTGAGGCAGACCGAGCACTCGGTGGCGACCTTACCATACTTGGAGCACTTCTCCGACGTGAACGGAAACACCGGCAGCGATTCGATCGTCTCTTTGTCGAGTCCCGGCTGAATCGGCGTCGCGAAAGCTGAAAGTTCCGAGAACGGTGGCAGGGCGATCGTCGCAGCGTGAGCACGGCGCCTGCGAGCGATGGAGCAGCTCCGCTTGACATAGACGCACAGGGATCCCATGAAGAAGAAGGCCGTGAAGAGAGCCGCGAGTCCGAATCCTATCATCGGGTTGAATCTCACAGGACTCCCGTAGTGAGGCACGGCGGTAAGGTTCCCGCTTTGCTGCTGGGAAGAATCAAACGACGCTGCTGCTCCATGCGGCTGCCGGAAGATCGAGACGATGGAATGCCGGAAAACAGCCATCTTGGACGACTACAACTTCTATACAAGAGGTACCCTTTGTGCTTGAAGCTTTGAGCTTTGCAACTTTGCTCACGAGAGAGAGAGAGTGAGAGTGAGAAAAGAGAGAGAAAGGAGGAGTGAGCTTGCGTGTTGTGCTGGCAGGGGCGGGTATTTGTATCCGGCAAGTCGCCATCACGGATAATTGCACTCATCGTCGCCAATGTACCGCGGAAAGGTAACACCACTGTTTTTTTGCGAGCTTTTTTTCAGTGGACTCGTCGTCCATAGCCAGAGAGCTTTAGCTGACTCCATTCTCTCTATCAGATGATCATTATCCAGGAACATGAGGAAGAGAGGAGACACACGTCGGGGAAAAATTCCTCCTTTCCGGATTCAACTGCGACCTTGTAAGAATTTCTCAGCTCTAGAAATTTCGTATGGCCGAGTGGTGTGGACCGACCATTTTGGTATTGTTTTTTTTTTTTTTTTCTATTACTAATGTATCCTATATTCGCATCAGACATGACTTGGGATCACAAAGACATCGCCAGGTGTAAAAGCTCCTGTGCATGGTGCGATGGCGAAGGAACCCGGAGGCTAAAAAATACAGTTTTGGGGGCGGCAGCCGGCAGATCTTTCTCGGGAAAGTCGAGTGAGGTGCGGTGCGAAACTCTTTGTTTTCTTGAGATATTTGGCGGTGAATTGCTTGCTTGGACCGACTGTAATATGCTGCTCACACTGGTGTTCTTCGTGGTTCTTTCAGATGAAGCATATCGTAGCTACGACGTCATTGAGCTATTGAGGACTTGGTCTCTGGCAAATACACGAGCAAAACATGGTACCGTCCTATAGATCCAAAGTTTTTCTCTTTTGAACGTGATCCATAGCCTTTTCCCATCGAAGTGATGTTCGTTACGTGTAAGGAATATGCTTTTAGGGCTTGCAAAGACTATACTTTTAATACGTTTAGGGCTATAACGAATATGTGTTTAGGGTAGTTTGATGCTATTAGGGCTCTGTTTTGATTTTACCGTTGCAGACTTCTAGAAAGATATTTGATTTTGTATTGCCCGCCATGGAATTGAATTTGACACTGGGGGAGGATACCGGATCTTGGTAGCTGCCTTGCGTGATAAATGATAACGGTAGCGTTTTTTCCTCCACATTTTTTAGGGCATGTGTGGCCCTGCAACAGAACATAACCACAACGGGCGCCATTTTGGTTTTTTTGTTTGATTGCTGTTCTTCTTCTTCCGGCGAAAGATCTATCGCTCTATCCATAGGCTAGGTCTTGGATCGGTCCATGCTGCTGCCAGATGGTGTGGATGCGCGACGCGGCGGACGCGGCGGCCATGGGGAACTGCTGCGTGTGCTCGGATAGCTGCGACGGATTTGGCCCTTGCCCCAAGAGATTCCGGCCGCGGCTGATGGATTTCTTGCGCATGGAGGATCGCGAGGTGCTGGGGCTTCTCTTGGATCGGCATTCTCAGCGCCGCCGGCCGCGGCGCCAAGAGCAGCTCGATTTCGCGTCTGACAGGGAGAAGATCGATGGCCGGTCGCAGTTGGAGCACATCTTCCATCAAAATATGCCCGTTTCGGAGAATCGAGAGGGAGAGGCCAGCGGCGCCTTGCGAATCTACGTTGTTACTTGGAACATGAATGGAAAGGTGAGAGTTTCTATTTCTTTTTTCAGCAGGATTGATATTTTCTTTTTTCCTTAGATACCTGAACGAAATCTCGCAAATCTCGTGGACGATGAATCGGCGAGAAGGAAGCACGACTTGTACGTGATTGGTCTCCAGGAAGCTCCAAGTTTCTACGTCGAGTCTTTCTTTCTAGAGATTCTGGGCGAAAGTTACTGGTAAAGAAGATCTTTTCTCTTTAACGTTTCTCTCATTGCAACTCTCTTCTTTTTTGTCATGTAGCTTGGTTGCATCGTCGGTCATGTCATCTTTGCAACTTTTCGTGTTCGCAAGGACCGCGCTCCTGTCATTTTTAACTGGTGTGTACAATCTCACTCTCTCCAAACGAGAATTCTACACTCGTTGTTTGTTTCTTCAGATCCCAGGAGCGACAAGGTTAGCGTAGGGGGATTTGGAGGTGTTATTGGTCGTCAAAAGGGGGCTGTTGCTGTCTCGTTGCGATACCGTCAGCTCAGATTTCTCTTCCTTTCATGCCACCTCGCCCGTAAGTTTTTCCTTTTTTTGCATTTCAAGCTTTCCATTACCGATACCAGGTTTTTTACTCTAGCCTTTAATGCTTCAGCTCAGCTCACGAAGGCAATGTAGGGGCTCGAAATGCTCAGTTTGCTCGCATCACTCAGAGCGTTTTCGCAAGGCCAAACACTGCCAACGGGTGCTCGTGCTTGCACACGGCCACCGCCGTGGTCGTGGACGAGTATGGCCTCGATCAGCCGCAGGACCAACACAAGCAAAACCAGCATCAAGCTTGCACGAACAACACTGTCGAGGGCTCCGATCTCGTCATCTTGATGGGGGACTTGAACTACAGAGTTGTCGGGCACAAAACTTCCGTAGGGATCTTGATCAAGAACAACCTCGAAAAGGTTCTCGCTTTTTCTTTCACTCCTTTTCAAATAACTCCAGCGTTTGTTTGTCTGATTTTACAGCTCTTATGGCCGAGAGACCAGCTCTCGAGAGAAGTCGCGCGAGGCAACATCTTCAACGGCTTTGTTGAAGGCCCGCTAACTTTCAGACCGACTTACAAGTATGACGTGGGAACCGATAACTATGACACGAGCTCAAAGGTAGGCAAGCGACTGCTTCTCCTGTTAAAACTCGGCTTGACTTTGAATCAGTAGAACTCATGATTTTTTCTTTCCTATCCAGGAAAGAGTGCCGTCATGGACGGATAGGATCTTGTTCAAAGTCCGGCACAAGAGCTGGCTCAGTGTGGCGGTCCAGGACTACGATTCGATCAACTCCTTGAAGAGCTCGGACCACAGGCCAGTAAAGGCACTGCTAAGAGTGAACACGAATCTCTAGAGAGATGGATCGATGCTTTGGAAGGCAGGCAGTCCTTAGATTCATCGTCACCGCGTTGTGGTTCATTCAAGGCCACAGTGAGGTAATGTCAAGTCAAGGTATAGAATTTCTTCCAAAGCATACCTTGGCATTTACATACACTCATTTTATTCCGACCTTTTTGATAGACAGAAGGTCTATTCTTGTTTGATTTCCAGGAAGTGACTCCTGGCTTGGTTGCCTTGTTTGCTTTCTCTTCCGAGTTCTAGACATTTTGGGATTTGGAACCCGTGTTTTGACATGACAGATTTTTCTTTCTCGTTTATGGTGGTGTCCATTCATTACAAGAAAAGGTAGGGTCTTGTTCAAAGAGCTGCGCGGAATCACACGAGTCAAAGCAGTGATCTCTTGAAGCTATCCACACGAGGTAAATAGTTAATACACGCCTCTCCAGCAAAAGGTGCACGGTTAGCAAGGGTAAATTTAGTGTAAAACTGATGCAACGTACTAATTATTGTCTTATGTTATGTTTTAGTTTGCATTTGTTCTTCTTTTCCCGTTAGATAATAAAGGAAAAGCTCTTGGTGATATTTTTATTTCTTCCACAAAAAAGAAGCATGATACCTATTCCCAATTGATCTGAAGCACCCAAGCAATGCCACGTAGTGCGTTCTTCGCTCGACAGATGCAATCCAACAAAAAAGAAGAAGAAATCAAACTATGCTTACTCTTTTCTGGGGTGGATGGGATGGATGCATAGGAACTTTCAGCACCGCCACCAGCTCTATTGCGATCTCCTCCTCCTCTGCCGACCTATAGCTTCCCGCCATCGTCAAATCCCTTCCCTTTGTTCAATTCAGGGCGCTGACCTTATTCGCTAAGACGTGGTTAAAGAAAAGGACAATTACAGTTACCCCCCATCGGACGGCTGCCATTGGCTGGATCCGGCGGCCCAGCAAATTCGGCACTCTATTATAGATTATTTTTCGGAAGCACGACATGAAAATTCAAGGTCCGCAAGGTCAGCAGGGAAAGAATGCTGACGTGGATCCCTCGTGGCACGTGTTTATATTGACCTTTGCGAGCTCAAAACCGGCACGGCACATTGATGGAGTTCCTGGGAAGAGACCTTAGCGATCCGGTGAGTAGCGGCGAGAATTACGGCTATGGGATCGATGGCTCCTCCCCGGCGGCGGTGGAATCGCCCGGATCGTCCGGCTTCACGCTGGAGGAGCTCAACAGCTTGATGATGGACGAGAATGGCGGTGGCGAGAGCGCTATGGCAGGATCCAGCATGATCAAGGAGCTCCAGCAGCTCATTCTCTATGATTCCCCGTCGCCCTCTTCTTCTTCGTCGCAGCAGCAGCAGGCAGTGACCGTGACCACTAGCGCCAGCGATTGGAGCTCACTGGATGGCCTATCGATCAAGAGCTGGACGAGCGAGATGATAGTGGGCGAGGATCAGGAGGTCTCGTCGTCCTCTTGCAACACAATGGAGAGGAGCAGCAACCAGGAGCTCTCCAGCTCCGATTCCTCCGGGAGCGCGAATTTGCGCGATCTGACCCCGACCCACGTCGCGGATCGCCAGGAGCTGCGTGGGTTCTCGTCCGACCGAGCGGATTTGGTCGGCATTCTCCAGGAAGTGATCGCCTCTCACCTGGCCACGGACAATCACAAAAGGAACAGCCAAGAGAAGCCCGCTGCTACTGCGATCAATCGAAAGAAGCGAAACAGCGCAGCCACATCGGAGGAGGAAGACGCGGTGGAGGGGCTCAAGACGGTGATCAAGATCCGACGGCAGGGATCCGAGACCGCCGACAAATCCAACGGCCACAATCCGCGCTTATACTCCGTGTCGCCCGACATCATGACACTGCTCCACGATTGCGCCCATGCCGTGGCGGTACGCGACGTGACCAACGCCAACAGCCTGGCGGTATCCATCCGGCGCCAGCACGGCGCGTCGTCCACCGCCGCGGACCCCGCGCGGCGCGTCGCCTACTACTTCGTGGAGTCGCTGCTGGCGCGCGTGCTGGGCACCGGTACCGCGCTGGCTGCCGCCACGGCATCCAACTCTGGCGGCCCGGACGTCATGGAGAGAGTCTACGAGTTCCGGCTCCACGCCACGCCCAGCCCGCTGGTGCCACACTTCGTCTCCACCTCCACGATCGTGGCGGCTGCGCAGGGCAAGCGATTTCTCCACATTGTCGAGATCGGCATGGCGAGGAATCGCTTCCAGTGGTCGCTCCTCCTCCAGGCGCTGGCGCACCGCCGCGACGTACCGTTGCGCCGCCTCCGCGTCACGGCAGTAGATTCGCCCCAGCACAAGGCGCTGCTCGCCCAGCTTGCGCAGCGCATCATCTTTGAATCCTCGCGCTTGGGATTGGAGGCCGAGGTCGAGCTGGAGATCGCCGACGCGCACGCCTGGGAGGCTGTTCTCCCGCGGATCGTGCCGCGCGCCGCCCCGGGCGAGGTGCTCGTCGTGAATGCCCTCTTCGCGCTCGACTTCCTCGAGGACGAGACGGCGGTACAGGCGCGCAGCCCGCGGCGCGCCGTGCTGTCCGCGCTGCGCCGCATGGACCCGGCGGTGCTGGTGCTGGGCATCAACCACGGGTACCGCGCGGTACCGCAGTTCAGCTTTCTGGAGCGCTTTGTGCAGGCGGTGACGCGGTTTAACGCCAAGTTTGACGCGGCGTTGGAGTGTGGGTCGGGCGGCGCCCAGGCGGCGGGCCGCGCGGCATACGAGGGCCAGTTCTTGGGGCCCGAGATACTTAACTTGGTGGCGTGCGACGGTAGTGACCGGCTGGTTAGAACAGCGCCTTGCGAGGAGTGGGAGCGCGCGATGGTTGGCGCTGGATTCGTGGCGCTGCCGCTGGAGGAGAGCACGGTTTTGAGAGCCCAGGCGATGATGGGGAACTACAACCGGAACTTTGAGCTGGATTACAGCGATGGATGGATCAAGTTGGCGTGGAAGAAGGTGACGACGCAGTGCGTTTCGGTGTGGCAGCCCCGCAGGATAATTCTACCTCGATACTAACTGATAGATTGATCGATTGATTGATAACTTCATTGCTTCGGAGACCAGCTTTCGAGCTTTCGAGCTTTCGAGCTTCTAACTGAGAAGAAAAATAAAATCTTGAGACCAAAAATCTAACTTTGACTGATAGCCCTCGAGCTTGGCAGACCCGAACATCGACTTAGAATACTTTTCCTGGAAGATATGATACGATATTGTCATCACACTTCTATAGCTGGAACTTTGAGAAGAAACATACCTGGACTTTCTTTCATCTTCTGTAGATGTTCCTATTGGATTTCTGCCAGTTCATGTGTTGCAGCCTGAGCACACGCTTTGGAACTGTCCATCCCCAGCCGGCGACTTTCTCCGGCCTCTTCTTCACGTATGGCTTGGCCTCCCAGCTCGATTCCATATGAGTCGGGAGTGGTGCCACGAATCTCATCCGCTCGGGGTCCAGGCCAAAGTCCACCGCGCCTGGTTTCTTCCGCAGCCGGGGGATGGTAAGCTCCCTTGAGTGGAGATGGAGCAGAGGATTCTTGGAGACTACGCTGCCTGCCATCTTGTTCCTCGCTTTGATGTCTTGAGGGTCCACCGTGTTCATGTTTCTTTCCGCCATCCATTTCTTATGCGTGTTGAATCCATACTTCATGTCTCCGACGATAGGAAGTCCAAGGCCTTGAGCGCAATGCACGCGGAGCTGATTATAAAAATAAAATAAGGAACTTTAGTGAGTACTAAACGTCACGAAAAGCCACCTGATGTTTTCTTCCAGTGAGTGGACGTAGTTGTAGCCATGTACAGCCTACGAAGAGAAATAAGATAATTACAAGCAAAGAAATCAATCAATCGCAAAAGAGTCCTCTCACCCAGTACTGAACGCTTCAAAACCTGATACTCGGTAATAGCTGGGATCGCGTTCTCGGACTTGGGATCAGCCGCTATTAACACACGATCGGATTTTCCATCTTCCAGAACCATCTGTTCAACGCTCTCACATCTATGAGCAATCCAAACGCGTAAAATGAAAGTGTAGTACCTTCAACAGTGGAGCTGAAATGAAACCTTTGTCTGCCGTAGGTGAGCCAATCACTAGAGCTATGTATTTCCGGTCCAAGCCTTTCCCAACACTCCCCTGGATTGTAACTTTGGTCAAATGTTTTTGCCTAACAAAAGGTACTCACACTGGGCATCAAGTTGTCTTTTGAGCATAAGAAGCTCTGGATCTTGACAGTGCTTTCGTAAGTGCGCCCAAGAATCATGACACCGCTCACATCTTTATCGAGACGATGAACCTACATTGTTAGCGAGATCATTGCACGGTTCATAGAAAGCGAATAGTGATTACCAGTCTTGGAGGCTCTTTGTATTCGAACTGAAGAGCCAAACTCATCATGGAGACTAGACTCCTCTCGACTTTACTTCCACCCTGAAAACGATAGATCATTTCATTATAAAGCATACACAGTAAGTAGTACCTGGACTGGCAATCCTGGTGGCTTGTTGAGAACTATCAAATCCTCGTCCTAAAGTTTCCAGTGGCAGTGAAACACTAAAGTAAATCTCAAAAAATCAAACCTTGTAAAGCACCGCATCCTTGAGCTGCTCAATCTCTTCCTCAGTGGGATCATCCGGCTCGTGAGACTGGCTGCTCGCCTCGATCTTCGTCACACTGTCGGGCACGCAAATCAGAGCTCCTACCGGCATGATGGCATTCCGTTTCACCTAAAACAAACAAGGCCAAAACGTTAAGTAGCGGGACGTGTTCTTCCCTCAAGCACGAAGAACACACACCTTGCATTCAAAACTAAGAGGAGTTTGTGTGACAAAGCTATACCCTCCGATATTTTGTGCTCGTTGTTCCACTCCCCGGATCCTCCACCAGCATTTTCACGCGAATCTAGAGAGCAAGAGATGGATTTTAAAACTCCTATCAAAGCACGAAAGAAGAGATCTTACAGCCCTTCTCCGGAAAAGCCTTGAGAGTGTGCTGATCGGTAACTCGGGCAAGCATTTGCTCACCCACTTACACGCACTCGTTTTAATCGTCTGCCCCTCGCTTCCAATCTCCCGGCGAGGAACTGGCGGGAGAGTCTTGAGCCAGGCACCAATCCCAGGATTGTCCTCCTCCTCATCCCCGGAGGACGAAGACAAGGAATCCGTGGAGCACAATCTGGAGACCTGCGGGAGCTGGGGATTTCCCAGGAAATGGCGCCGCATTGTGGCATTTTTCGCGAGAGCGCGAAGCATACCTCGAAGAACCCTAAATTAAA